ACTCCATCAAGGGACAGTAAATAGCCTAAACATTTAACCGCTTCTATAAAAACGTTTCCTCAACGAATAAGAAATGGTTGCAACGGTTTTACCTGTTCTTTTTGTCTACCAACGTTCTCTGCTAGCACTCTTAATGCTTCCCCCTATTCGTTAAGCTGCGCATCTTTAGTGTTTTTTTACCCGTGGCGACAACGCAGCAACGGGGTCATAATAACTCCCTATAGAATAACATAGCCTAAAGCCTCAACGTGGCTCTTAAATGGGACGAGGTGGGCACCCCTAAAAGATATTCATTAATTTCTCCGCATGGAAACTATATAAGAAATATATATGGATACGTTTCTGCGCCTGCTCATAAGATACGCTACATGAGCCATGCTAATCGTGGAATAAATGTTCTTTTCCACCTTTAACCTTTCGACCTTTTTGTATGTTCACCGTGTTTTCTCCACTCGCTTTAACCCACATTAAAACGACCACAGGAGCCGCATGGTATATGTGCGTGCCGCTTATCAACAGAAATCCGACGCAGATGGTGATCGAGTCAAAAAATGAATAATACCTCCCTCATGTGTTCTGTTCTGCCTTCTAATTTATCAAAGAGGGGCGTTCAAATAGGCAATGTTAAAAATGGGTCCCCCGTATGGTAGTAATCCCTGTGGCGATGGTACCCGCGTCATGACACGCACGAAAAAGGGAAATGGTCCAAGCGTTATTTATCCCGATGCCCTTAAGAAATATATGTTGGCACAGGTGCTGCTCACTTGCGAAGAACAAATGGTACATTTTGTTTTCTCTTTTCCTATTTAAAATAAGTTTTACATGAAACGAACGTACGTACATGCTCAGTCGCATGCTCGAGCGAAACGGGAACGGCAACCTTCTTCCTATTTTAAAGGCGCAAAAGTTCTCCACTCCCGTAGGTGTAAATCATAAATTTGGTTTCAATTCTTTAAGTAGGATGGGATTCAAAATTTCTCTTCAAAAATATGGCTAAACTGATCAGCATCAATTTTTAAAACGAAAAAAAAAGGGGGAGAATTTGGCGAACACCCATTCTTCTTGGCAGGGATGCATATATGTTTATGTGACCCTAAACTACGGTGATGGAAATGTAGAAAAACTGCCAAACAAATGCGGAAGCGTGTTGCTTACCTTATCATTATGCAGCTTAAACATATGCTCATAAGAACGCATACAAATATGGGTATGGGACGCCTTATGCGTATAGCTCTTCCGTTTTCACGTATGCAGTAAGAAAAAAAAAAAAAAAAAAGAAAAAAAAAAAAACATCTACAAAAAATATTGTCAATAGAAAGAAAAAAACTAAAAACGTATTTAGATAGCCAGAGAGGGAGATATAATTCTGTTTTTGCGGAAAAACAGAAAAGGCTCATTTGCCCCAAACGGAAGAATGAATAAAATTCAACCTTTAACGTTAACGAAAGCAACCAATGCGCTCGTTTTGTGCGCAAGAAGGGCTTTTCATTACACGTGCATTTGAATTTGCGTTTGCATATGCGTACATATATACAAACGTATCATTTGCAGTTATACGTAACTTCTCCTTCCCCTTTCCCTTCATCCATCATTCATCGTCACCAGTAATTAATTACGCTCTTATAAAATTAACAACTTCTGAAATATTTGAAAAAAAAGGAAGAAAAAAAAAAAACAAGGAGAAAAAAACAGTACATATAGCACCATCCTGCAAAAGATTTATGTCAAATGATATATATAATTCGTGGGCAGTAGGACAAAATATATAACATTGCAATATGCGTGTACATCAGATTGCCTATGCAATAGTGTAAACGGATAAGGGCGGGCCCATTGAAATCCTGGTAACTGCTTACCCCTATCGGAGGTATGTATAAGTACTTACCTGCTTGTGCGCATATCCAACTTAATTTAAACATGCTTTTAATCCATACCCCCCTCCACTGCTTCCACCTTTTTTTAAAGAGGAAATTCACTTATCCATTTTGAATGAACTACACTGTTTTATTTGCCTCCTGTTAGTTCTTTTTTTTATTTTTTTTTTTCTTATTTTCCCACCTGCACCCATCATTCGCTATCATATATATGTATAGCCCCATCTAACAAGCGTCCCTTCTTCTTGTGTATAATTTTTCCCTTTAATTGTAAAAAGTGCATACACATTTTTTAAGTAAATTAAAAAAAATGAGTTATAAAGATGATAAAAACAACTCTCAAGAGCGCGATTACGAACGTGATCGAGAACGGGACTGGGAGCGCCACCACGATCGGGACCAAGACAGGGATCACAAGAACGATGGTAAACCGAGCAAACTAACAAGAATAACACGATGGTGCACCGCTCAGTGTTCTGCACCATTAGATATGAGCCATGCCAGCATGTGTAGCGTGCAATTGTTTCTGCTCCTCCTGCATAGGCCCATAAAACCGTCTCTATGTTCTTAAGTACCACATTTACATTGCTACAGTTTCACGCCTTACACCTGTAACGGGATGCACGTCTAAACCTTTTGCCCAATTTACACGTCCAACATAACTCTCACCACTCCGTCTCCCTGAAGGAACAACCCTTTATGTGTCAAACTTAAGCTCAAAAATAACGACGGCGAAACTGCAGGACATATTTGAAGAGTACGGGGCCATAGAAAAGTGTTACGTCATCAGCAACCCAATCACGAGGTAGGGAATGTCCGACACCTCGTCCCATGTTGCAGTTCGCCCCTTCTATGTGCGCTCCCTGTAGATAATGTCTCCTCCATTTTGTAGTACATGCAACAGGTAACTCGAATCTTAAGTAACTGACCCCTAAATGTTCCTTCCCACCCCGCAGAGAATCCCGTAACTTCGGATTTGTCACTTTCAACAATCCCGATGATGCGAATAACGCCATGCTCAAGGCCAACAAAATGGACATTGAAGGTTATTAACAAAACGAATACATATGCCTGCACTTTGCATGCTTCCTTTCTTCGTATTATTATGATCAGAGTTAGGCAAACAGGGAAAAAATAAGCAAAATAAAATAAAAAATAGTGCATCATAATGTATTAAAACATAGGAACAACGCTGTGCTGTAGTACTCGTCTTGAAAAGAAAAAAAATCCAATAAAGGAATGTCAGCTCAATGTACGTCGGAACAACCAAAAAGATATGCATGAATCGGTATCGCTGTTCTACAAAGGAAATAAACTCCCTGGAGAGACGTGCTCCCCAAAAACGTGATTGCTAAAACCTTTGCCAATTTGCAGAAGTCCATAAGCATACATACATTATACACACTCGCAGAAATTACTACCGTACCAATGTTGTTAACATTTCTTTTCTTTGCCCAATATAAACAATTTGCCGTCGTTCGAACCCTTTCCAGCATAAGTGCAATATCTACGCGATGCACACATATGTGTGTCTACACATTTGGGTGAATACTCTTGGAACACAATAAGCATTACAGCCCTTCGGCTATACAAATGTATATCAATTTAAACAAATTTAACCCCGTTGCCATTCCCAATACGATTAACCAATCTGCTAACAGAAAATCAAATTCGAACATAAAACGTATCGTTTTTCCTCCGTAAAACATTGTCATGCAAACAGATTACGTACAAAAAATGCCGACAAAGTGTTTCCGAGTTTTGCCTCCACCATGTATGCTCCCATTGCATAATTGTGAATATGTGGAAAAGTTGCAACTTCGAAATGTTACTCCTATCTGCACACCCCCCAAAAAAAAAAAAAAAAAAAAAAAAAAAAAAGAAAGAAAAAAAAAATGAAAAATTCTTGTCCTTCACAATATCCGTTACAAACATGCATACATAGCACGCCAAATGCTGGACGTATTTATAAATGATATCAAAAAAATTATCAGCAAACGAATGAAATAAAAACAATAATTATCGAATTTTTCTAACCATAGGGCGTATTATTAACGTAGAAGTAGCCAAGCGAAACGAGCCGCATGATCCAACCCCGGGAGAGTACAAGGGAGTTCAAAGTAAGTACAGCGTTCACGGGACACACCAGGCATGTTATCATTAGCATACGAATTGCTACCTTTTCTGCCGTGGCTGTCATGGCTACCCTGTGTCTACTTCTTCTTGGAAATGCCCGATTTATTTATAAATGAATTCGTTTGTAACCACGTCAAAAAACCTTTGAAAAATGTCCCCTCCCCCCAACATGGATCTTTTTTTTTTTTTTTTTTTTTCCTTTTCTCCTCCCAAAGATATGATGAAAAGGAACGGAATGAGGTACGATTTTTATGGCAGAAGATACGAGAGACCATTTGACAGAAGAAGATACGACACAAGAAGGTAATTCGAGTTACTGAGTGGAGTCTTCCACAGGGGGAGAAAAGCCTTGCCTACATCAGACGCCACACTCCGATGACGTTTCTGTACGGGCACGTTTATGTGTACCCCGTCGTGGTACCACTTTTTGTCTCGCACGTATTATAAGATCCGCTTGTCCAACTGGTCCATAATTGGGGAAAACTTCATTCCGTTTAGCAATCGCTTTTTTGAAACCTGCTTTGTTATCACTCTTCCGTTTTGTACACTCACCTCATGAGGGGGCTATGTATATACCCACACTTTGATGACTGCTCCTTCTTTCTCCTACCCCCTATGTGTAGGCCCTACCCATACTACAGAGAGCACGTACAAAGTTTCGGCTACCATCGCAACAACTCGTACAGACATTACGACAGATACGGAAGGAATGGATATGATGAGCATCGACATTACGATCGAAGGTCCATAGACGATAAGTACTACAGGAGGAATGATTATTACAGAAGAACTGCGAGGAACAGTGACGATGAAAGGGAGTACTCCAGGGATGACAGTAGAAGAAAGAAACGATTTGAAAGAAGCAGAAAGTCGTCCAGTATTTCGAATAGCGAGAGGAGACACTACAGGAATAATTCTCCGATGGAAAGGTAAGACCATTAGTATGAGAGTTTTTCTCGCGCGGGGCGGAAGGGCAGGGGGGTGCCACCTTCCAGTGAGTAGAAACGTGGACAAATGAATGCACACGCAGTTTTTCTAAATGGTTTTCTCATTTATATTTGTTTTTATCTTCACACGCAATTTTTCTAAATGGTTTTCTCATTTATATTTGTTATTACCTGCACACGCACGTCATATATATTTTTTCCCCCACGCACCCCTTTGTAGACACCAACACCACAGAAGAAAGTAAAATCAGAACAGAAACAAATTGTGGACGTCATGCCAAAATATTTGTACACTAAAAGCAGACATCCAGATTATGTTTCCCGAAATAAGAGAGAGGGTTTCATATTTTTGTATATTTTAATCCCATGACAATTTTTTTTCCAAAACGAATAAATCAATATATTTGAATGTACGTAAAAATTAAAATTTTAAAATTTTTAAATTTAAGTACCCACAAAAACACGCACAAAAAAAAAAAAACACACATATACATATTATGTACATAGCTGAACGAATGAATAGCATTTTTTTCATTTTTTAATTCCCACGCATATGTCGTAAACTACCAAAATTTTAAAAAAAACATAATCATAAAAATGAACCACTTCCACAGTCACAGCTTGGTTTAAAAAAAAAAAATCAAAATCAACTTGGTCGCTAAATGTAATCATCATCGTACCTCCACCTTTTTAACAACTTCTTGTAACTAAAGAAAAGAGAGAAAAAAAAGGCATACAATGTGGTAGAGCGTGCCAGATCAATGTGACAACGGAATATGCACGTCGAAACAACACATCAATCAAAAATTGCACAAAAGACGCCAATACTCCATGGGCACTTCCTAAAATGAGTGCACAAAAGGCCCAGGACATTGCAGTGCATTCGCCACAACGAATGTACCCTAAAAAATGAAAATCAAAATAGCGCAAACAGAAGACAAGACGATCGAAAGATGAGCCCAAAGCAAAACAGAACAACGCTTAAACGCCCCAGCCGATCGATTACTTCTTCATTTTTTCCATATTTACCTAAATATTTTTACAGGTAAGTCAGCTTTTTGTCTGCAATAATTCTCGCACATTTGCAACCATGTCATGAGTTCTTCCCTAGTCTCTGCTCTGTATATTTGTTCACGCGTGTGCGTCAGCCGATAAAGGAGAAATAAAATGATGTGTACAAAATGAGGCTCTTAACAATAAAGCATTTAAGCGCAGAATACGAAACGAGAAAATGGCAACTCTCGCATGGGTGACCGAACGAGTGACCGCACAGAGTCAAACGCATAAACTATGAAGCGCATGGAAAAGCAGCGCCACCGTCACCATCACGAAGCAGCATATAATTCGTTACCTGACGGGGTATATTTTAGAAAATTCAAGGAAGCAGTTTTTCCCCTTTCCTTTTATACACTGCTCAGGGAAATTTGAATAAAACGAATGGACATATGCCCGCTCAATGTCCGAGAATTTTTCGTTTAAGTAAGACGCGAATACCCAAAATAAAAACCACTGCGCGTGGCATGGATGTTTAACGTCATTTGAATTCAAGCTTTCATCAAACATGTAAAAATTCTCTTGCTTTATTTTTTCTATTTCGTTATTTTTTAAATCTTCTCCCGAGCTATTTTGCGGAGCTATCTGTGGCAAACTGTGCCTTGCGTGCTCATCTGTCTGTGGCAACCTCTGCTTGGCTTTCTCATTTGTCTGTTGCCACTTCTCCTCTTTTGAGAGTCTGCTAAGAGGGAACCGCTTATTTTCCCTTTTCTTGTTTTCTTCTTCGTGATTCTTTATCTCCTCCGCAACATTTTTTTTTGTATCGTTATTTTTGTAAAACACCTTCGATGCTACTTGGTTACCCATAATACCGTACTGACATCTTAATCCCATTGGTGATTAAACAATATCACCAGTCAAAAAAAAGGATGAGGAATGACGAAGAGACACGCAGGCTGTGGTGTCGTGTGTGCAGTAGGCAAATGGCTGTCACTATATACACTGTGAATGTACCAAGTGGAATTTGTTGCATCAACCATTGTAGTGTTGTAGAGAAACCATCAGCTGCTGCGCGACCTTTCGTATACATTATACGCATGTATGGTGATATATATATTTTCGCCTCTCACTTTGATGGACTTCTCTCGTGTTCACCTCGTCAGACCTCGCCCCGCTATTCATTTTATGGATGAACGATGGGCTCACTTACTTCCCCTCCTCTCTTTTCTCAAAAAAGACCGTTAATTAGGCTTTACACTATATCATGAAATTCCTTCTGCGTAAAATTTTGCGTGTTATCTTCTGGGCGTGTGAACAAAAGGGGCATATTTCTAACTCCACAAATTGTAGAGGGAACTACGAATTTCTCACACTCCTCACTGCGAGCTCCCCCGGGTGTACAATGGCAGTATCAAAAATGGGATGATCCTCTGCGTGCTCTCCCTATAGAGAAAAGTAGCACACTGGAAAGAAAGTAAATCAACCTTTCGGTAACAAGCAGTTGGAATGGCCTCACAATTACGAGTCATTCGGATTGGAGTGTGGCGGTTGGGCAGAATGCCAAGTTGCCAAAATGAACTAAAATTTTTCGTAACCGTATCTGAAGGAAATCAGCTAGGTAAACAAAACACGAAAAAGTGGGAGGCCCCTAAACATTACTGTTTAGGAACAAGCCGGGCAATTTCTTCTTCCCACAAGGACAAAAAAAAAAAAAGGGAACCGACTTTTCAGCTCCCTCCAACTGACAATTGTGCATACGACCACGTAGGAAAAATTCAGTTGACCCAAAAGAAAGTGATACAAATAAGCATGCCCTAAATTGATAAAATTTGCTCGTTTAACACGCATGAACCACTTGCGGGCGTTGTGTATAAAAAAAAATCCTCGCTTAACCCACTTTCAAAGGAGGCAAAGAAAGAAACGAAGGGAGCTTCACTATGTACACAAAAATGTATTGGGGTAGAAAACATTCCACATTTGAAGCAGAAGTGAGTGATGACTAAGCGAAATGGTGAAAGAGGAACGACTGAATCAGAAGAGGCTTATTATTGCAAACAGATACCTTGACCCCTTCGCTAATCCCACCCCCCCAGCGACGCATTATGCCCACTTCACAAACGAACTGAGAAAACGATCATAGTTATCACACAATGCTTTTAGTAAACGCAAGTGCCAGGATCAGATATGCTGTGAATTTCACCCTATTCTTTTTCTTTACAAAAATAGTAATTTGCATTTTATGTAAACATAACAGTACCCTACGCAGTAGCAAACTTTTCCGCCATAAGAGCAAAAGAATCTTCCAAGTAGACCTCGCCCGAGCTGAGAAAAAGCTTCCCAAATGTGCAACCTTTATCCATTTTAACAGTCCATACAAAAAGATAGACGCCATAGAAAAAGAACATAAACTGAATGATGACTTGAGGAACATCATCCTTCTGTTCGGGAGAATTGCCGAGCCGTATTACCCCAAGACAGCTGAACAGTTTAATTTTTACAAAGAACCCTACAGTAAATATATCCATACAGCTGAAAATCCAAGTTGCACAAAATGGAAAGACCTTTTTAAGGATCACAAAAAAATTAATAAAGACATTTTCCATGAAAAAATTTGCCAACTTAGATTTAAATGGCCAATTAATGAAGATGAAAATATTGCAGAAAATAACTTCTACAATTTCGTTATAGAAAAATGCCTGAACAATATCAACATTGTAAAAAATAATATCCAGCATTTGAAACTCCTTCTCACCAAAGCCATAGAAAGTAAGAAGGAACCTGCAGGAAGAGGCGTCAAACAGGGTACCCCAGCCGAGGAACAGAGGAGACTCTTCCTCCATCATTTGTACGACGCACTGGAGAAAGAATTCTTCAGCGAAAATGAAGACGCCGAGCGTGGAGTGCGACGGAATGCGGGCCAGGAAGGGGACCCCCTCGAAAGAGACAGGCGTAGGAAGCAAATCCTGGAAAAATTGGAAAACTTGCACCTAAACGATATTTTTAAGCAACACAACAGATCCTACACAAGACTGCTCGTTAACGAAATTTTTAACAAAGAATATCCATCCAGAAAAACAACCGATTTATTCCTTCATCTACTTTTTCAATCAAATGTAGAAGAATTTTCGTATGAACACTTTCTAACCTCCCTCAACAGGCTAGGCAAAAAAATTGAGCTCTTCACCTGCAAGAACAATTCCAGCATTCACTTTGATCACTTTTTTTTTCTCATGAAAAATGAATTTAAAAAAAACTCTATTAACCTGAAAAAAAAAAAAACGTGTCCTCCAAAAATTGCAAAAGCGAAAAGGGATTACAGTAACGACCCAAGGAAGAGCCTAACTGCGCAAAGAAACAAGACGAAACCTATCCAACACAGAAATAACAGTGTAACAGAGAGTGGCAAAAAAAGAAGGAAACAGAATTCGCTTATCATACAACATGATGCCATCAACAACCACTTTAATGGCACACAGTGTAATCTTGAAAATGAAGACCAGTTGCACCAACTGGAAGATCTGGATACTCGACAGGCAAATTTTATAATTCCTCCCACTTTGGACACCGAAGAAAATGCAAAGGAAGGTAAAAAAATGCACACTGATGGCATGCGGACCAATTCCCAAACCGTGGGTACCAACCTCAAGAGCAAAGTTATTCGGCTATTTAACTACATCGTCAACAGCATAAGAAAAATGGCTTCTAATGGGTAAGTGCAAAAATGGCTTTCTTTCCTGCCCCATTTGTGGCAGCTCCTTCGTTCACCCGTCATCGCACCAAGGAATGCTATACAGCAACATGGGGAGATACCTGCACGTTTCGTCGAAGCTCCTTCAATTTATCAATACACCCACAGGTACACACGTTAGAACTTCACAACGGTGCATTGATATGCCGCTGCGCTCATTTCTTGCATGTGCGTCCGCTTTATTTTTCCATCTTTTTTTTTTAAACTGCTCTGCAAATTTGATAATTGCGTTATCTCATTTGTAGAAGTTGCATCTGCACTACAGTTTGTCGCCCCCCGTTTTGGAAGTTCCTCACCAGAGGGGCCTCTCGAAAGAGTCATCCTGAGCCCCTTTCGCCAAGTTCGGATTTTTTTTCAATACAGCCATAGTGCAGAAAAAAAAAAAAAAAACGCACCTCTGACGCCATTTGTTTGTTTGTTTCTTCTTCACCTAAACAGTGATACCATTTCCCGCAAACACCATTCCCTTGTCCATATGGCCATAAAAGCTGTATGTTCGTATGAAACACCAATGTGTACACTTCACGCTAATGCTCACGTTTATCGCCCTTGTTTATGTCTATAATAAACAAACGCACCAAAGCATTAACCCCAATTAAGGAACAAATCCGCGCTAAGTGAAGTAGAAAATGTCTGTTCCTCGTTGGCATTGAACTAAAAACGAAACCTTTTCAACTTCCGAGGGAGGATAAACGTTTTACCGCGTTAACTCGTAGGTAGCATACGCGTCGGACTAACATAGGGGGAATTTTTTTTTTTTTTTTTTTTCTTTTTTCTGGCCATCTTACGCATTGGTAAGAGTAAAGGACACAAGCCGCTTCCAAAATGAGAAAAAAAAAAAAATTCTAATGAGTGGACTTTTTTCTTCGCACTTTCTCAACCCTGTATGCGGACATCTCCGCATAGCGCATAATACGAATTCATTTTAAGGGTTCCTCGATGTGCTGAAGCACGAAACAAGTAGTTGGTAAGAAGTGCTACATCCCCCCCCCCATGTGAACAATTTTGTATGACTTTACGCTTCTGTATATTCTTCCCCCTTGCCACTAACAGAAATGTCTCAAAATGGGCAAAATCAACAGAAACGTGTGATTTTTTTTCTTTTTTTTTTTTTTTTCCACCGTCCCCCAATTGGTTTCCCTTTTAAAAACACGACGAATTAGCACATTACGTGGAAACATTTCATCCTTTCTGTGGCCTCCTTGTGTCATATTCGATTACCACCGTCTGAATACACACACGTGGGTTGTCCCTCTTGTACGTATGAACATTCACATGTGCTTGCTGACCCCTGCACTTTTGAGCATTCTGCTTCTGAACCTAAATCTGAGAAAGACAGGTTAAAACTAGGCACCCCTTCTCGCTGCTCAACAGGTCATTCAGCATGTGTTTTTCAATCTAGTTAAGAATTACGTCTTGCGATTAGGTGCGTCATTCCATTATTCTTCTTATTCTTCCTACTTCCTATCCAAGTAACATTGCGCGTGTATATATATATATACATACCCCATCTCACCAACTCGTCTCATCACATGAGAAAAGCAGTGGAGAAAAAATGCTGGGAAAATTCATCTCCGAAACGTACAACAAAGTGAAGAACAAAGCCGATGAAGTGAGATTACACGTAAGCGTTCAGGCAATAAAGGCGAAGGAAGTTTTCGGACTGGTCAAACCAACAACTGTGGAGCAACTGGAGGTTTTACTAAACTATGAGCTGCAGCAAATAGACACAGCGGAAGCCTTAATAGGAACATATAAAAAATGGATATACAATTTATCTCAATCAGAAAAAAGTGACTGTATAAGGTACTACAAAACTGTTAATCAGGGCAACGAAAAGAGGGAGTCGGGAACCTTGACCATTCGCCCCTTCACCAAAAGCAACGAAGAACAAAAGGATAAGACCTTCCAAGTGAAAAGAAGAAGCGAAATTACCCTATCAAATAGCAACATCACTAGTGCGTGTAACAGTGACATTATCGATGCGTATGACTCCTACTGCAATAGCGAGGATGAACCTGCAAAAAGGGAGACAAATCTGGATATACAAGATCAAAATGGTGAAGGAATAGCAACTCCAGCTAAGTTAAACGATATCATTGATGCGGAGCCGAAGCGCCACGTAAAGGTAGACAGCCAGGAGAGTCTGCCAAGTGTTGAAAGCAACACAGTACACGGAACGATCAGCACGGACAAGAATAAAACCAACTCGACAAGCAAATACGAACCCAGCCAGAACACAAACAAAGAACCCCTAGGTAGCTACATCTATGATGATCACTACGGATACAATTTTAAGGAATTTTTTTTAAAAAGTAACATACTGGAAAAATCTATAAGCCTTATTTTAGAAAAAAGAGAAATTAGATTATCGCTAGTTGGACCCATAGAAAAAGACGACCTAGAAAATCCAAGAACCACCATTCTCACCATGTTCAGTCACTGCCTAATTGGAAATCAAAAGCTCCATAAAGATATACTCTTCATTATATTAACAACGGATAAGCTATTTGACAGTCACAAAGAATTATTTTTAGAACTACTAGCTGTTCTCAAGTATGACTACTTAGATGTGTACTTGATGAACATCAGGAAAATCGTATCAGCTGAGGTTCTTTCCCTAAAGAGTAAAATCCAGCTGTACGACTCGAAACTCATCAACATTAGTAAGCTTTCCTCCTTGGACATCATCAGCCCGAGGACAAGCATCTCCTCCATCGACTTGGACAAGGAGGAGGGGCACTCCCAGAAGTATACGTCTCACCACACGGAGAAGTCACACCTCCAGGTTCCACCCCCCGCATTCAATTTCGAAAGTTTGGACAGCCAACCGCTTTACGAAGAAGAACACAGCTCTGCTGCGCAGTTGCCTGACGAGCCACACTCACTCGGGACAGCAAACAGAGAAGATTCAGCTGACCAACCGAATGCTGAAAATACATTCGAAACGGAAGCCGCATGGGAAAATGACACCCCCCGAAGGGAGCTCTACAAAGAAGACTGCAGAACGGAGTCCCCTGCAGACGAAAAAGAAATTATAGAATCGAACAAAATGCAGCAGATAAAAATATTGGCTTCAGCTAAACTTATAGAATTACACAAAATGTTACAAAGGATCCTCCAAGTAGCCACAGAAAATAGACAAAAGAGGAAGGTAGAAATCAAAATAAAGTTAGAAGAGCTGAAAAAAATCATGGAGGTCTGCAAAAAGGATTGCGAAATAACGCTGCACGACACGGAAGATTCAAAAGTACACCTAGAAAATGTATACGTAAAGGAGCTAGACTTAAGAACGAACAGTATCAACCAGACACAAGAAAAAGTAGATCAAATGAAGAGAGACATAGAAGAGCTATTAAAAAAGAAAAAGAACCTATTCAATGAGTATCAACTTATATGCAATGAAATAAACATAATGAATAAAAAATTATCCACAATCTTGTCCAGCTTGACGAATTACAAAAAGGAATTAAATCAAGCCGAAGTGGAATATTTAAACAAACTCTCAAACACAAATAAAGCCAAGCATATGCACCAGGAGAGAAAATTATATATATCCAATTTGGACAACATCTCGGATGAAATTTTAAGAGAGTATGCAAATTCGACCTACATAAGTACAGATGAGTTAGTGTCCAAAACGATGAAAATGAAGAAGCCGATAAATAAAGTTATTACTAACCATTTAACTTACCTGAAAGATAAACTTTGCTTATTAAATACATTATTAAAATTTTACGTGCATCGGGTCAAGTTCCTCCAGGGGCAACAGCACGCCAAGGAAGGAGCAACCCAAGGGCAGCATACCGCTGAGTACACTCCTGCGGAAGGGTGCGATATGAGCGATACAATGAGCCTCTCCGCGAGAGACACGGAAAGTAACACCATGGGAGACAACCCCAACTTCTTCCCCTCATTAAACCATCAAGAGAAGGCAAAAAAACTAAAACTGATCAAGTATAAAAAAAGCTACTTCAAAATTATAGAGCAAATAAGCAAAGTTTGGGTTGCTATACAAGAATTTTACGATCTCAATAAAGAGAACATAGACGATGCTGATGGTGACTGCCCGGCCGATGCCACGTATCAGCAGATTAACGACCTATACAATTACAGCAAGCGGTTTATCATGCAAAATGGCCCCATCATTTCGTCAATCTCATGATTCGCGAAATCTGAGGTGGCGCCAAACCGGGGGTCGTGGTACATTCCTGTAGGCCAGATGCTTCTCCGTGTGTGACGTGTATGTGTATACATGGGTATACTTTATTCCCCGTTGGTACCTGATTTATTTCCCCCTTTTTTTACGTAATTTCTTTTTTTTCCACATCACACCCTTTTATTCACACCCTTTCATTCACGCCCATTTTTTTGCGTAATTCTTCTCTTTTTTCTTACTTGATCCATCTATATTCCTTTGAGGGAATATCATCTACACGTATACGACACCACACCGTCGGGAAAATTGAACAAACGAACGCAAAGCATGATGCATATACGTTCCACTACGTGGTACCCTTCTTTTCCAAAGAGTGCGAATACTCCCCAGTATATTTTTTTTTTTTTTTTTACGACTAGTCCTTTACCAAGAAGTGAACTTTAAGTTCCAGCAGATGAACCCCCATTTGATTACTCCATTCGATATATGGCGCGTAAACGAGGTCTGTGGGGGGTATAGCACCATGGTGGTAAAGTAGCCAAACAGCAGAGTCCCCAACTGCGAACCCTTGCGCGGTCAAATTTACACCAACATGCAACCGGCGAAATATGTAGCCAAAATGACGGAACACATGCCAAAAGTTCCGAAAATATACAAGCACAAAAAGTTAACAGAGGGGGTGTACAAAATTGCAAGAAAGGTTTCCTCACTTTTAATGATTATGCCACAATGCTCCTTAAAACAGACTGTCACAAAGGAACAATCGCGATAAAATTCCCACTAAGTATCCCTCACTTTGATCTTACCAAAAGAAAAAAAAAAAAAAAACACAACTCTACATATGTTTGTACATAAACGCATACGTGAACGCATTTTGAAATTTTTCATTTTCCAATTGGTTCACGCGTTAAACAGCGTGGTACGTAGTATGTTAACTTTCTTAAGCCCGGAAAGAAAAAAAAAGAAAAATACACAAAAATGAAGAAGGAAAAGAATTAAATAAAACAAACACGAAATAAAAGATATGCAAAGTGCTCTTTTAAAACAAAACACACAGATGATAAGAAAAAATTTACTCTTTAACTTAATTTCAACGTAGCATCATTTTCCCGTCGAGGCGACCAGTTTGCGTATGCATTCCCCAGTGAAAAGTGAAAAGCGCAGGGGCGCGCCCGGCTTGCGGAAGTGAACTTTTTCGAAATTTGCGTTCGCCGGTACTGCATATCAGCACATCCGTTAAAAGAAGGAAAAAGAGAACGAAGCTGAGGAAAATGCGCCAAATTGTACCAAGTTGCGCGGAAAAAAGGAACACACGCGATAAATCCAAACAGCGTTAAGGTCGCCGAGCAAATGGACCATGAAAAACAACAAGGCCACGGAAAACTATTACCTTAAGGAACCTCCATGTAACCATGGCAACAATGCGCTAAACAAGTGCTCAAGCTACTTCGACATAAATCAATTTAAACAATTATACACCCCACAAAGTGTCAATGGATATGAACAGATTTTTTCCCCTCCTCGTAAAGATAAAAAGGCAGGGAGAAAAAGTAAAAAGGAAATATCCAACAGCAAAGGTGCAATCCATTCATTCCAAAGTGGTAACGACAAAACGAACAAAATAAACCAAATAAACAAAATGAATCGAATGAGTGAAAAAAAATCCCCCCCCTCCCCCCAATGGGGAAATCACTAACTCAATTAACACACCCTCATTTATACTCTATCTTCCTCCACGATGCTGCAGACCAGTACCAGAATGACACGAGAAACTCAATGCCCGTAGGAATAGGCGAAAGGAAAAAAATGAAATTTAACGTGCCGAATGAAGATCCCCACTGTTTTTACAGCAATTCCTTTGACCAAACGCCCAGAAAGCACTTCTCTTTTAACCATATTCACCCACAAAATGACGAATCTCCAAACGTCTCTAATCCTAGCAGCAGTGTCAGAAAAGGCCTTAACAAACCGACGATTAGCAGAGACGGTTCATTGAACAAATACGATTTTATTAGATTTGTTTGTTCTCCGATCAAGAAAAGTGCCGATAATAGAAGCGCAAAGTGTGATAGTGAAATGTGCAGCCCGGCGAAAAATAGCACCACCAGAAATGACCCCAAATATGACCGCAAAAGAAACAGAAACTGCGGCGAACACACTGCCATTAGCATGGCCCCAACGTATGACCCCGAGAGAATCGTAGACAATTATTCCCAATGGGACAATATTTTCTATCCGAAAAGGGACCAACAGAATGCACTCAAAACCGACCAAAATTTTAACCCTCAAAATTATCTCAAAACAGGAGCAAATTATGGCGAACACATTGCCACGCGTAGTAATATAGAGAATGTCACCAAAAGAACCGTAAACAACTACACCAAAGGGGACCAATCTTTTGACCCAACAGGGGAGCACCAGAATGCCTCCCAGACGGAACAAAAATTTGCCCCCCAATATGATTTCAAAAGAGGGGCAACATATACCCGAAATGTTACCCACAACAATGAGGCAAAGAATAACTCAAAAGAAACCCGAAACACTTGCTCCAGCTGGGACCAATTTTTTGATCCAAGAACAGATCCGCAGAATGACTTCAGAACGAACCAAAATTTTGACCCCCAAGATGACCTCAAAGGAGGCAAAAAATATGCCCAAAACATTACCCAGAGAAATGACACAAAGATTTATGCAAAGTGTGCCACTCTTTGTGTCACAAAGAGTTACCCGAAAAATGACCCAAGATGGGATGCAAAAAATACCCACAAAACGGACCCACACAATGAGTCAATTTTTCATCCCAAAGGGAGTGCAAGGTGTGGCGAACGCGTTGGCACAAACGAAACCACTAACGATGACACAGCGGAAGATCCAAAAAGTGACATAAAAAATTTCCCAAAAAATTGCCCCCCAAATGACCAGTACAATGGCACAAACCAAAGCAGCGAAAGTGACCAAGAGAGTACCCCCCAGAACGGGGCTTTGAACAATGAACTGATGGACCTAGATAGCCACGACTCCATTGACCGACTTAGTAGAAACTTTTTCATAAACAAAAAGAAGATTTTCATTACGCACTTTCGAAAAGAGAAGGATGCACATAGTAAACGTGCCAGCAGTCATCCACATAGCAACTGTGGGAACGTTCCTCTCCCTTACGATGCACCAGAGGGGGGAAGGAACAAAGGAAAAAATGAACACAACAAATGGAAGGAAAATGCTGAACAAGTAACCCCAGGTGGTGAAACTTTGCAGTACAGCCTTTTTGCAAAAGTGAATTCCTCGCATTGTGAAGACTATGTTAACAGCGGGGAGGAAAACTGCGCGATGGAAAACTCCATTAGAGAGAATTACCGTGCAAGAGGAAACAGAGCCGAACGTGACGATTACAACGAAGATGACGAGCACCATAATCACGACACAGGCTACTCCGATGAAGAGCCGCCTGATGGTAGCAGCTTCCTGCGAGACATGGACTCCTTCGTGCGCAAAAACTGCAACGTGACAAAATCGCTGTACAACCATCTGGACGTCCCCTACAACGGCAGCAAGGAAGAAATTAAAAAGTCTTACAAGGAAAAAATAAAGGTTCATCACCCAGACAAAGGAGGAAGCATAAACAAGTTTCTTCAACTGAAGCTCTCTTATGACATCCTAACAAATGATAAAAAGAGAAAAATGTATGACAAGTATGGACACAGCATATTAGAATTATTAGTGAGCGAAAAATTTCAAAACTATGAGATATCTTCATCGGATGGAGAAAATAGTGAAAACGAAATTGATGATGATAACGTAAAAATCTACGACTTGTTTGTCCAAAAGTACAACAACACATCGTACTTACACAACTTACACGATTTAAAAATGGATAGCAATCAGTACAACGAATTTCAGAAATTAATTTTCCACTTCTTTCATCATGAGAATCCCATGTTTACGAACACCTTCCATTTATTCCCAGCTTACTCTCCGTTTGTCCCTCCCTATAGGAAGAAAAAAACAGACAAACGGAAGGCGGATAAAATAAAGGCAGTTGGAAAAGAGGTTGCTGAAAAAGAGGTTGCTGAAAAAGAGGCAGTTGGAAAAGAAGTTGAAAAAAAGACAGATAAAGAAAGAATTTCCAATTTGGGATTATCAAGCAGCATGGACACCTCCTCTGATTGTTTTATCCGACGGAAGGAGCTGCTCAGTTCTGAAGACAGTTCCACATCTCGAAATGATTCCCCTTCAAATTACAGCGAAACAAAGGAATGCTCAATTTACGATGTACTAAGCATAGAACATGTCACTAATCTGTTTAACGAGCTCGACGATGATTTTAAATACTTCTACAAAAAATGCATCGTGTACAAAATAGAAGAATCAGAACTAGCTAATAACTCCAAGTATGGCAAAAAAGGCCTGACTAAAATCGTAAATCCTGGGGAAGACCATCACGAGGAGGGCAAGGCCAACGTTGATGATACCTGCACCCCCGTGAAGGAACATACACCCCACCCCTTCGAACAGTCTCCCTACGATGAAGATGTTGCCACTCCCCTAGCGCAGTGCCAAGCGTCCCAGGAGAGACACATCCCCAACGGTTGCAGCCGAAACGAAAGAGCCCATTTTTTCCGGGATATTCAAACCTCCCCCATTGCGTACAAAATTATAAAGGAAAATGACGAGAGGCACATAGCCGAGTTTTACAGGTGGTTTGAATTATTTTTCAGCCACCACGAGGAGGCGCAAGCGGCCAGTGAAGCCACGAAAGAAGCCGAGAGAGAAGCCGCCAATGAAGCTGTAAGTGAAGTAGCTAACCATGCAATTCAAAGCGATCAACGCATTTGTAGTGATATTCCCCCCAATTCGCGGAGAGGAGCGGGCACACCCACCGCCGCTGCTCACCGCAGGCCACAGTCAGAAACACATTCAGCACGAAGTAACGATTCGAACGCAGAAATCAATTCGGAGCGATTTAGAACGTTCCAATCCTGTGCCGAGAAATCCCGCCCCTTGGGGCAGATGATGCGTTGCAGTACTGACACCCCGAATGCACAAGTAAATAGCGATGCCCAAAACTGGGGGAGCCCCGCTAGATTTGCACATGATAACAACGGCAAAACCAAACATCGCGACGGCGGCGGAAGCGGCCACTTCCAGACGCATCCAGAAACAACGGCAATCCGTGCAACGCCAAGCCGCGCAAACACCACTCCTCGGAAAACGGAAAAAAAAGGCGAGAAGCCTAATAGATGTCGAGAAAAAGACGCACACAAAATAACCCCCCTGCGTAGCATGAGCACCAAAGTGGAAGATAATAACCTGGCACTAAATATTGAAGAAAAATATGGCTTCAATTTGCTGAAAAGAAGTGAACAAAAAATTAAAGACATGACACACGATTTTAATTACATATATATAGGAACCAACATGATGAAGAAAAACAAATTTGTCCTTTTCGTAAAAGAAGAAAGTATAAAAAGGTTTTTAAAAGTTAAACTGCTCATCGAGAAAATTAAGAAAAAGTCAAACTTGAAACTCATATCCGTATTCGAAAACGAAATAGAAAAGAACATAAAAGACATGGAGTATATTTTACTGCTGACAACACACAAGGATGAATTCCTTCCACTCAACGATTTCTACCTGCTTGACAGAAATGTTTTTACAAAGGACCATTATTGCATACCCATATATATAAAAAAGAACAGCATAAGCAGACCAACGCATTTTCACATGAGGTGGATTGTATACACCATACAGTCGCTCATCTTTTTTAATTTCTTTTTTAAAAAAGTCAATAAGTATATGTGTGCCTTCCCCTTTTTTAATTACAAGTATAATTTACTCAAACAGTTTTTCCACCATGAAGAAAAATCCAATAATACTATCCCCCATGATATAAAAAATTTTTACATTTTTTTCCAGCAGTACATCATCAAGAATAAGCGGCAGTATTTGAAGTACTTTCCGCATTCCATCATTCTGCAGTTAGAAAATGACGCATCGGTAGATTACCAGAGTAAGAAACCCGTGCGCGTAAACATGTCCTCCATTTTGGTGCTGACGTCGAACAAGCCTATACCCTCCGCGCAATGGTAGGCATGAACGTATACCTAATTTGTAGTACTGTAATATGTGCAGCAGTATATGTGTTGCTCGTCGCCATAGTTACACCACGCAGATGCAAATAAAACGGGTTTGCACCGCGCCAATGGGATACAAAACGGGTTTACACCATGCATTCCCCAAAAATATTCTATGCCGCGTAGAATCATTGCCCGCCGATTGAATTCCCCCCTTCATACACATTGCTGCACATTTCGTCATGAGCACCTTGCAGTGCGTCCCTTTGTTCAGCCCACCTTCATTGTGAGAAAATTTGCCTATCCATTTTTTGTTACCATGTGGAATAATAGTGGCGTGCCTGATGGGCAACACGGCTATCCACCACTTTGTTATTTGATTATTTTTACCCCTGCTCCTTTCCCCGCTATCATTTGCATTTCACTAATCCTCCCCTTCTTTTATGATGCCAAACGGGCGAACCTTAAAACTTATTGTGTTATGATGCCATACAGTGTTTCGTCATTGCCCTCATGGGAATTCACTCCCCAGTTGAAGGCACATGTTGACGCACAAATGTCCAACGTGTACTTCTTTAATGCCTTGGCGGGAACGTATTTCTACCATGATAGTGCAAAAACGAATGCCATGACGTTTTACACGCTCATTTGTGTTACCCCTCCAGGTTCAGTCTAGCACAGGTCAGCAACGCAAAGCTGCCACCTATCACCATTTTTAACCTTTGCCAAAAAAATTACAATTTCGAAGGTTCCCTCCCATGAACGTATCTATTGCGCGTTCCCCAAAACAACTTAAAAACAGTGGCATAGTGTAATACTGTTTTGTGTGATTCACCAGGTTTTTTCACCGCATCCATTCTGCTTCACCTCCCAATGTACACGTGTTACGGTTTCGTCCGCCTATCCACACAGCCTCTCAAACCGGCTCCACGTTTGGGCTCACGGACACGAAACCAAACCTTTAACTTGTACCATCTGACCGATACATCATCCATTTTGGCGTGTTCCTCATCTTATTCCGTCCGCAAGGAGAAGGATGGAAGTTACTAATACATACACCCATCAAGTAACAGACAAAAACATCCTTCTCGCAAGGGACAACTGCATTACTCATCAGCGAAGAAACTTATCACAACTTTGCCTATACATTTGCCCGGAGCTTAAATAGGATGCGAGAAACGCATTTCCTTTTCCTCATTCAGGGAATCATCTCCTCACACCATTATACAAAATCCAACACATTTCCATTCGCTTGTTCAGTATGTTCCTTTTATCCCTCTTGGACGCACTGGCTGTAACACTTTCCTCCCCCCCAAAGAGACGCTTTATCATTTACCGGGATATATTCACGTATGTTCTATGCTTATGCTCTTCGTATGCCATTCTTTCTAAAATTTCGAGGCCTAGAAGAGAAGGGAACACATAGGGCTAACCCCAAGCCTAGGGGTAAAACTAACCGGGATACTGACCGCAGGGGGGAGGAAAGGCAAAACCAGTTCCCCAAAGTAGTCCCCAAACTAAATGCAATGGGAAAAGGTAAAGAAAAAGGCAAATACGCAAAAATGAAAATAAAAAATCGTCATTGTCAACATTGTCAAATTGTTGTACAGCAAGAAGACCAAGAAAGGAAAATTTGTGAATGAAATAGAAAAACTAAAACGTGGCAAAAAAAAAGGAAGAAATCACCAATGCAGAGAGCAAAAGGCAGAATGACAAATCACAAACGGAAAAAAAATAAACAAACATTATTGTAAGGAATACGGAGGTGACACAGATGACATAAAATGCCAAACGAAAGGCTTTCCAAAACGCAGGGGAGAAAGCATTTTTCTTCACTTGTACAAATTACGCATATTCAAAACATCTTTGCTGCCTCATGACTGCCGATTCTTATGTCATTAGGAAAAAACCCCTGATGCGCCAACGAACAAACATCAACCCCTCAACGCAACAGATAATAAAAATAACTTTATAATGAAAATTGTTTAACCCTGTTTTGTTAACAACCTCTAACACATATTTAGCAGTTTTTTTTTCTTTTTTTTTTGTTTCAAATATGAGTGAATCAAGTAAAAAAATTACCAAGGCCAGGATAGAAGGCATAAAGGGCGCCCACCTGCAGGTATTTAAGAGTTCCTTGATTCCCTTTAACGCTATAGTGGAGAAGTACACGGAAAAAGAGTAAGCCTCTATGTAGATACTGCCTTCAGTGCTCTCAGGACGCATCACAACATATGCCTATATATCTATGTACATGTTTGTACATTCCCGCGGCTGTCCCCTGCGCTTATCCTTACCAGCAACAGTCACATGTGTACCTATGTACCCATTAACAAAAGATCCACCACAACATACTAGTTGCATGATTATACGGAGTAGAACCCTCTCGAACGCACAAATTTCACTCCTTTGTACCATCTCATTTCTTCCTTTTTTCTTCCCTCCTCCTCCCTTTACAGTGAAACAGCCATAGTGGCATTCAAGGCGGGCATAGAAAAGAAGCACCTAGACGGAATCGGAAAATACACCGTCACGCCCATGTAAGTAGCTCTGCAGAGGTTCTTATGGACACCTCCATTTGGGGAGGTGTACATGTCTGTATGCGTGCACGCTTGAATGATTTTTCATGCTTGCAACTATGCGTAGGTAGAAATACTACGCATGGTTGTCTCTCAAGAGTTAAGACGTGGCCTACAGCGCATTCACGCATTATACGTACGGGGAACTCTGGGCAAAGGCAGCATTGGAGAGGAGCGATAATTGATTGAATTTTGGCCCATACGTACCAAAGGAGCTGGTCTTTCAGTATACCATTCCTTTCCCCGTTTAGTGTTACATATGTGTATGTTTTTTTTTCCCTTTTTTCTCCACTCTTCCCAGGGAATTCGAAGGCGAGTCCGGCGACCAGGTATAATTCGATGGCACTTACCAGCACTCCATCACCCCATCCCTAAGCAATGGCACAAATAGAAAGTGGCCTGCATCGACCACCAACCACCCCCCCTTTTATTTTTTTCTCTTCTCTTTTCTAGAATTTGAGAAAGCGAAACACGAATTTCATTTGTGATCGGATCGTGGTAGATGAGCATGACATTATCAAGTTCTTCCTCAACACCACGTAAGGCACAAGCTTACAGCACACTGCATCGAAGAGTAGTTAACCATAGGGGGGAGAGACAAATGCCAACCTGGGCACTTCGTATTAGAAGCGGAAATTCACACATTGTTAATAGACTTCTCCTTCCTTCATTGCTGACCTTACCCCCTTTTTTTTTCTTTTTTTTTGTTTCGTCTCAGGCTAATGGCGCCCGTTATATTCGTCCTATTGAGTCTCCTGATATTCTTTTCAATTTTCTGATGCACCCATGATTATACGAGATGGCGTAAATCGCCCCTTGTTTTTTCTAACACCCCAAAACTGCAACGTGTATGTCTTATGTGCTTATCTATATGTATGCGTGTTTTTTTTTTTTTTTTTTTTCTTCTTCCTCCCCCTTCTATTTTCTCCCCTTTTTTTTTGGAGTTACAGAACCCAACCTGTTTCATGTCCCCACGTTTTTATAACATGTAACAAAACCCTTTACGTAAAAATTGTATCATTTTGAATCCTATTCGACGTTGTCTCCTGTTGACACTTGTGTGTACGGACGGAAAATATGCCGACTGTTTAATGAGTTGCGAATAGCAAAAATGAAGAGAGCAGGCACATGGGGGTACAACTTTCGTTTAATTTGTTTCTCACTGAACATGTTGGACTCAACAATGTGGTAAGAAAAAAAATTAACGAAATCAACCAAGTGAGTCTTCCAGCGAAGCATAATAGCACCACTCCACCGCGTGGGCTGGAAATCCTCAATGCGTCACCATCATAATGCTGTCTAGGCGCAAACAATTTACCTCTTTCGAAATGATCTGAGAGACAAGGAAAACATGCGAAATGCAGATTCTTCCCAATTCAATCCACTACATATGTTTCACACTGAAAGTGTTGGCCACTCGATGCGCCTCTTATTTGGGCCTTCCACGGTGATGCATTTTTTTTTAATTATATATTTTGTTCCTCTTTTCCGCTTCTTTTTCCCCATCATTGTTTAACCGGGAAAGACGCTTTTGCATATAAGGCACACACTTCGGGTGGAGGGAAAAAGCTTTCTCGTACACAAATTAAAGCGTTATTGTTAGTCAAAGGAGTTTCCTTGCATCTGCAGTTTTGTCTTGAATGTAGTCTTCCACCCTGCTAGCAGATCGAATTAAGTCCAGGAAAAGGTAATTCGTGCTTAATTTAAAAAAGGCGAGATGGCGAATACGTGTGACAAAAACCCGTCGCGTTTTAACCCTCGCAATTGTCTTTAGCGGGATGAATGAACTCTGGCAAAGTATATACGCCAAGGTGGCCCCTCATAACCTTACGCATAGGTGTATACACGAATTAGCACATTTAAAACATTTCGGCGATTCGTTCTGCCATTTTTTCGCTTTTTTTTTTTTTTTTTTTTTTTTTTACACATTGGCATACACATTTTAAGGAAACATGCTGGTGCCCTAATTCACACACGCATTTTTTTTTTTTCCCTTTCATCTTCTCACCAATTTAGTAATGATACCAAGGAGGAGACCAACTAAATGCCTCTATTTTATTTGGAGCTGTACATACTAATTAAAATTCCTGTTTGCTTCATCTCTGCTCACTTCTAATTTTTCTAGTTGGACGATTATTCCAAAGCGCATGTGTGTACACGCCTCCGTATGCACATTATCATACAATTCGCTTTCAACATATGCACAATGGTGATCATTTTTTTTATAAAATGTCATCTTCCTTGCTGTCTTCCTTAGGAGTCCATACATGTGCATGTCATTTTTCCCTTTCACATAGTGGGAAAGGGCTATTTTTGCCTTCCGCATCACTTAACTGGGCTCCCACATCTGGGTGTCTGGGGAGGCTATTCCCTGCGAGTAATGGGGCGTGTACCACTGAGTGTTTAACTTTTCGTCGACACTTTAAACATTTCAGAGGCACTTTTTTCAACATCTTCCAAATCGTTAAAGAGAAAAAGTGCACAAACTGCTTCTCCTCATTTTTATTCCCTGTCACATCGTTATTCGAGTTCAATGCCGAGTTCTTTTCGCTTCAATATTTTTTCTCTTCCTTATCTGACTACGAAGTTGTGTAGCCTAGTTTTAATCATGCCTCTTTAATTCGATGCAATAATCAGACCATGCAATTGCAGGAGCTCTTCCTCGATATTGCTCCCTGCGCATGTGCGCGTCTGCGCTTCTGTGACTCCACCCCACTCTCCTAATGCATATGTTGTTAATCCATTTTTTTTTTAAATCTATACATGTGTATACCGTGTTTGTATGTGGTGCGTACAGAAATAGACACGAGAACGATTCATTCCCCCCGTGTGGATATGCTCCTAATTCTACGCGCCTCCCTGTGTGTGTTTTACCTGGGGATGGTCATATGGTTACCTACTATAGGGTAAGGAAGTAGGGGGAGAAACGCTCACCTGCACCGCTGCTACTACACCTCCCTCACACCACTAGCCAAAATGGAGAACTCCGTGAGACACTCAGTGGACATAAAATCGGAAGATTTTGTCGTCCTGATTTCGCTCCAAAACCTACAGACCTTTATCATGATAGGATACACAGCCGTGAATAAAGACCATCTAAACTTTGACTTCTCCTACGTGTGGGCACTTTGCATTGGGAGCGGTCTCTTCATATATTCCCTCATCAGCTTTGTTCTCATAAGATCCCTTGTGTTGTCAAAGATAGACATAAGCAAATACGTCCTGCAGTTTCTATTCAGTTTGAGTATAATCGTCACGTGTTCACTGTCAACAATAATTGACTCTTTCAAAATTTCCAACATGCAGTTGCTCTTTTTTTCGTTCGCTTTAACAGGCTATGCCTACTACAATTTGATGAGCCTCTTCTTCTTTTGCATCCTGATAGGACTGACGATTCAATATAATTTCAGCTTGACTGGGTTCAGTGCGCATTCCAGTTCTTTCTTCTTCCTCGACATGCTATCTTACCTAGTGCAAATTATCGGAGGAAACATCTTATACGTTCGCATGTACAAGCTTTGCACTCTAATCGTCATTTCGAAGAAGAACCCATGCAAGTATGTCGTCGCATCCAAGGAGGTGAAACAAGTGGAAAAACAAATTTTCTCATCCTTATTCAATTCTTACATGTGCAGCAAGTCCAGAACTTATTCCGATTTAACATGCACTAATAATCTTTTAAATAGAAGGAGTCAATCCGTTCTCGGTAGGGATACTAACCCTAAGTGCAACCCCCACGTTGGTACTTCCTACCAGGATAAAGTCAATCACACGAAGATGTTACTCCTTCGACGAGGCAAAAGGGACAAACGAAATCGCAGGGGAGCAGGTCGACTAACATGTGCAAAACACAGCAACTATCATAACAGTCGAAGCCTTGCCAACTCCGCCACCAAGTCTACCTCCATCTGCAAAACGGACATTAGAATATCCAACACCCTTTCATTTAAAAATAATTTCAACGTGAACTTACCCTCAGAAGCTTCTCATCCCATTTGTAAAAAGTGCATCGCCGAAAAAAACAGCCATAAGGATAATGCATACAAAAACAAGGGAGAGAAAAAAAAATCTAAATCTTGTATAAAGTCATCCACTGCAGACAAGTCAAACCGGTTGGACAATCATGGGATGAACTCAACAGGGGTGGCTAATCCGACGTACTCAGCTACTACCCAGGGGGAGGATACAAAACCGAGGAGGAACAACTCGTCCAGAGGACACCCCCAAGATGATGAAGTGCTCATCCCAATAAGGGGAAATAACACCGATAAGGATGCCGTCCCGATGAACAACTCGAACGCTAGTTGGATCAAATCCGCTGCGGTGATTGACATGTCTGGAGAGGGGAAGCAGAAAAAGGAGAAACATCACAATACGTTTGGGGAACATCCCGTAGATACATCAGCTGATCTACTATCGGAAAAGAAACCTTCAAATGACTCTTACCTCAAGCGAAGTGCTCTCCCTGCAAATGAACAGCAGGAGTACTATGTCTGCCCGTGCTCCCAGACCCATTCCAGCGGATCATCCCTCAGTGATGTGACCTCACAACAGGAGACGAAGCGGAAAATTAGTGCGCATAACTTCCCTGAAGGGAGGAACACCAAAATGGGTAATCAGCAAAATCGCCTCATGAGCAGCAAACGGGGACATGGTGCAAAGGGTGAAGAACATGACCTCGCCAGCCACCCCCTTCCAGATAACTCAAACGAAAATGACGATACCTACCACTGCAATGTGATGAAGCCTAGTTATAATAGAATAAAAGGTACACACAATGTGTGTACGCCGAGTGGAGGAAGAAAGGGTGATAACTCCTCTCGAGCAATCCGGGGTCAACGGGTTGAAATTGGCCAAATTGAGACCATCCCTCCAGGAAGAAAAGCGATCCAGGTGTGCCCCGACGGTGCGCCGCTCCCCCGCGGAAGAAGACCCTCTGCGCACAGTAACTGCACGGATCACTTGGGCGATGACAGTCGCCAAAGTGAAAGCAAATTCGAGTCCACGTCAAACGAGGACGCGTCGGACACTCTGGAAAGAACACTGCCTGAAAAGGATCAATCGAATGGGTCAAAACGACCAACGGTGAACGAGGCAGACCTGTCTAACCGAGGAAACCTATCAAACAGGGCAATTTTATCGGACAAAGCCCATGGGGTCCACCCAAACGACAACAATGTCGCGGCCACCTGCAAAAAGGAAACAAATTCTCACAAAAATCTCCTCTTGCACAAGTCCAAAAGTTCGATAGACATGAGCCAGTGGGGCGAAAACGTCACGCACAGACACACCTCGAGAAGCAGCAACAACACCAAGGTGACCACATTCGCAGACAAGGAGTTACAAAATGGAAGTAGCAGCCACACGAGCTGTAAATATAGCAAGAAAAACACAACAAGGCAACATGAAATGTTAGACAAAATTCTGCAACTGGACATCAGTAATCAGGACCAAAAAAATAAAAAAAAAAACATAAAAAAAGGCGCATCGTCATTATCATCGTCGTCATTGTCGCCATTATCATCCTCCGCGATAGCAAGGAAAAAAATATATCTTACGAAAAAAAAAAAATACACTTCATTTTTTTGGGAAAATGCAACCATACAATATTTATTTGTTCACATTCCACAATATTTTAAAAACATCTTCGATATGACGAAGAGAATATTTTTCGATTTAAAAAAAAAAAAAATGCTCATGCAGAATGCAACATGGAAAAATAAAATATTCATCCCTGAAAGGGACGCACTAGGCTTATTCAAAAACGAAAACATAGAAAGATGGTACCTGTCCTGGATGGACGAGTTTAACAGAAATATTATCGCCAAAACTTATTATATAGGCATCTACCTCATCATGTACCTAATTACCCTAGACCTTGTAACAGCATACAAATTGTACTACACCACAACGAGAAGGAACATAAACGGGGCCTTAATCACACACTACAATTACCTCTGCTACTATCTATTCAAATCAATAGTCAACATATTTGTGTATCTCCTCTACATACTTTTTGTAACATTTAAAATACGCAAGGAGCCCACTTATAATATTAAGCGCTATTATCTTGTTACCCTTCTCTTATGTTTAGCCAAGCTCATCATATCATCATCGGACATTTACGTGGCCATCACGTCGCTAGATTACTTCATCAGCCCCTACTACGTCTACATATACATCCATATGCTAATTGTGCAGACGTCCATTTTGTTAATAATTCGATACCCTACACATTATGTACTGTTTTTTCTGTACGTTATTTGCTTCACTTCGTTATACTGGTCTTTCTCCATTCACAAAAGTTTTATGGAATTCATTTTTATCATTGCTTGTGTTTCTTTTACGATTATTTATTCTTATGTACTTTGCTCCAGGACCGTGGAGATCAATCGCCGCATTTTGTTCTCCAAGTATGAGTTGCCCTACCTCTTGTACCTCAAGGAGATTGCCGGTTGCCTGAACAGGCGCCGGTCTAAGGGGGATGTCTGATGCGGTTCGCCAGAAGTCCTGCAAAGGAAGCGCAACCATACGGCAAGTCCCCCCTTAGCGCACTTCACACCGGATTGTATCAAAGTTGTCCAAGCTGAGGTGAGCCGAACGGATATGAACCCAGTCGAGATGAACTCAGTCGAGATGAACTCAGTAAAGATGAACTCAGTAGAGATGAACCGAATCGAGATGACCTCCCAACTTCTGTCGTTGCACTCCCACCCCCATACCCGCTTGTTTTGGTTACGCCTTGGTTGCCGTTGTGGCGGTGCCCCGACACACACTCTTTTCACTGGAGTCCGGAAGGGAAACCTATTTGAAGACCTTCCATTCGGCCTCCCCCCGTTTTTGTATTTCCCCGCTCGTGGGGTTAACTTCTAGATGGCTACAAAGCCTTCTGATCCTCTTGGACTCATTTGTAAACCTGCGTTTTGGTCGCCTCTTTAACGCGAATTTTTAACCGTCTTTTTTACCGTCTTTTTAATGCCGCCTTTTTTTAACTGCCTTTTTTAACCGATTTTTTTAACCGCCTCTTTTAACGGCCTCTTTTAACCGCTTCTTTTAACCGCCTCTTTTAACGGCCTCTTTTAATCGCCTCCTTTAACCGCTTCTTTTAACCGCCTTTTTTAATCGCCTCTTTTAACCAATTTTTTTCCCCTTCTTACGGAACAAACTCCAACTCCAATTTGAACTTCCTATTTCTCACTTCCCAATAGGGCTTGTTTATCTCTGAGGTCGCAACTCCCACCCCGTTCAACATTTCTACCACTCGGTTTAATTCCACGTTTTGCATTTGCCTCCCCCGCGTGAGAGGGCGGGAGCCTCCGGTGGAACTTCATCGGAAGGGACACTTTTCTTTCCATTTCCACTGTTTTCACTTCATGGTCTCTACCCTTTTTTCCACTCCTTCGCTTAGCTTATCTTATGTTTCCCCCCTTTTGAATTAGTCTAACCAGCCTTTGCGCCCCCAAAGGAACCCTTCTTCCTCCGTTGCACAAATAACACGCCTCACCTCACCTCATCTGACATTACCTCACAACTTCTTCCCCTCATTCGTATCCTCACCGATGGTGCGTTCAAAATTTACGCACCTCAATCGCCATGATAAAAATAATTATCACCATGTATACGTACCCTCAAAGTGGAAATTTACCCGAAATTTTTACCATCAAAAAGTTGCTCTTCTTACGAGTGTGACTTTACCCTCACACGTACAAAAAAAAAAAAATACTCACATTGAATAACCATGCACAGTATGAACAAACGGGTGCCGCTCTAAAAGGCAGAAACAATTCCGCAAAATGTTTTACTCACCTATGCGTTAATGCGGTATATAAATGGCTGCACATCCAGTGCGATAACCTTTAAAATCTTTCGTTTTACAAAACATTTGGTCTCGCCTGCTCGACTGGTTTGACGCCATAATAACGGTATTACTGCGGGAGGTACTTCACCGCCCAGGAGTTATCACCCCGTTACTGCTCCACTCTTCCATTTCCTTTACCGAACGAGGCCTAATTTACACAAACGGAAAAAGAAGGAAAACCCAGGAGAAGTACCTTTCAGACCCAAATTAATAATGCCCCTTTTGAAGTGCAGTCTTTCTAAATGAACACAGAAGCTTCCCCTTTCATGCCTATCAGCTTCTTATAAAAGGTATGATCTCCTCAAGGGGCCGCCTGCTGCGTACCTTTATCCTCCCCATTTAGTTATATGCCCGAACTTACACAACTCAATTCGCAGGCACAGATCAAAAAGCACACTCCTCTCAAAACTCACAGGAAGAAACTCTTCCCCCGTGAAGATACCTTCAACTAAGAAGAGTGGAAAAAACTCCAACGGTTTGTTTGTCCATCCCCCTTTAATAAGATGATCTTAGTAAGAATAAAAAAGGAGCTTGAAAAATGGCACCAAGTGAACAAAGTAGATTTGTGGGCAAACACGTTTACCTTTTAAAAATGAAATAAAAAAAAATCTAGCCCGCGTTTACGTGATTTTACCCTCTGCGAACATATCCATCAACGACGTGCAGCTTTAACGGGAAGATATTCTCCCTATCAAGTCTCTTTGTTGCCACATTAGTGTGCCCACTGCTCGGGCATACATAATACGAATGCCTCTACACCCCCATTAGGGGGAAAGCAACCCAACTGTGTTGTTCTAATACGATAAATAGAACATGTTTGTTGGTGCCACACCTCTCCGTTCGAAATGTTCATTTTCTTAACTTCATTTCTATGCCAACTTCTTACGCAGAAAAACCGCTCCATTCGTTATCTATCGAGTGAATTCAAGTCTCTCCCCAAGCCGGTTCGTTTAATTAAGTGTCACGTGCCCTACACCGCCGCTCATGCACTGATGCTCTTGTGAGTGTGCACTCCAGTGGCACCCCCAACTGTGCTGCTCACGACATCGCAGCATAGCCACACCGATGTGCCCCACTGCCTTCGTAGCCCGCAGGAACAGGCGTCGTGTTTCACGGAAAACTGCAACAAGTAAAATACGCCATCAGTTTCCCGAGTTACCTGTTTATAATTTTTTCCGGGTTTATGGGGGCCATGTCAGGAAATTTCTTTTTTAAAAAATACATTTTGAGGAGGAACCCCCCCAACGTAAGATCGTCCATACGCGCGTGTCGGTGTGACGCTATGTCGCTATGTCCCTATGTCGCTATGTCCCTATGTCGTTTCGCCCTTGCCCTTGTCTGTCTGTTGTCTCCGTCTTAATATTCCCAATAAGGGTTAAATTCTCGCCGTATCCTTTACCACCTCTCATTCCTGCCCCCGTCTTCTTCTTTCCGCCGCAGCCCCTGAGGGACCCCAACGATTTACCGCCGGAGAAGCACCCACACACCCCTGAGGAGGATGATTAAAAGGAGCGGAGGAAATAAACGGATAAATATGGATCCAAATAGAGTGCCAAAAATGCAGACACAAAACAGGACGGATCTAGGCGGATCGTAGTAAAGGCCTACGTGCTCAACTGCGAAAAAGGAAATAAAGAAAAAAAAATGGAAAACTTTTTCTTATTGCGAAGATAACACCCCACAAAACTGAAATAAAGAAATACTCGCCATGTTATAAGTTGCCGTTTATCTGTTAAAATCCCTGGGTGTCACAATGATAAGGAAAGAAGAAAAACTATTAAATGAAGGAAGCACGTCAAAAATGTTCAGTTGACGCCCCTTCCCATGCGACGAAATTAACCATAGCAATACTGTCTCCCAAAAAAAAAAACCCATAAAAGTTGCTCAAAAAATCGCCAAATGGCCCAACTGCCAGTATACACAGTTGTAGGTCAGTTAAGAAAAATTCAAAGAAGCCAATTGAAAAACACGTGAAAATAGTTCCCAATCGATTGCTAGTAAAGTATTCAGCATGGGCAGAGATACGCGCGGGGCAGTTCCCCGTTTTTTAAAAATGATAATGTGCAGTTTATTTCCCTTTTTCTTTTTATTGTAATTTTTTAAAAAGATGCAAATAGGGAAATTTCAAAATGCATCCAAATTTTTAATACACTGCAGTTTTATAGATGATAAATCAGACTCATTTGTATCCCCTGACGTGTACAATTACATTTTATATAGATTTTTTCCCACCCCCGTTTTTTGTATTAGCATGTTGCGCCTTTACTTTCAATAAAACACAGGAATATTCCTCGATGTTCCTTCTTCCCACCTCCGTCCCCATTTTTATGTGAACACATTTGTCTAATGCCTTTAAAATAAAACTCTCTACGGAATTGTCCTTTATGCAATTTTATTGTTTAAGAATAAGGCAACGAGAATGTTGCAATGGCATACATACTTTTACTTAAAAAAAAATTGCGAACATTTCGCTTCACCCATTTGACTGGTGATCTCACTTATGATGAGAAAAGCTGGTGGAATTTACTTTCTCCTTTCAGTTTAGCCACGCAGAAATCAGGTATTCCAGTTTCTGCAAAAAAACAAATAACGTCAACTAATTTGCCTTTGGGGAGCCAATACCCACTGCTGTTAAGCAAATAATTTTGTCCCTTTACTGGGGTTAACTCCCATCAATATGTACACGTAAGAACTCCCTTTTTACACATGTACATGCAATTTTCCCCTTTTCTTTTTTTTTTGTTTTTTTTTACGCCCCACTAAGCTGAGAAGACAATACAAAGTTTCCATTTCGCTTATTTACCCCCCTGACTATACCGTACCATGTGACACACTCTTTTGCAACAATTCAGCTCATGTGCACGTACAACATTTGTGCAAACTTCTCGAGACATAATAATTTGGCTTGCCATACGTCCGATACGACATTTTGCCCCTCCTCCATTAGTATAATTTTCTCGCACATTACTATGACAAAATATTCTCTTTGCAGATTGATGTGCCAGGAACAATACATATGCTTTTTTAAATGAAGCCAATTTAAAAAACAAAAAAAAAAAAAATCATAACATTTGCGATCCCTTCCGTGGAGGCCCAAGAGAAGTGCAGTGACTCTAGCGGGTTAGCAACATTTGCGAATCCCCCCCAAAAAAAACAACAAACCGGAGCAGTATATATCTGCGCAAAACTTTTCCTAACGGATGATCGATTGGATTCATTTTTTCTCCACCATGTGCAGGTTGATTCTTTCACCAATAAAGGAATAGCCCCAAATGTTCACAAAGCTGTGATAAAGCTGTGTCAGGGCCGCGACAGAGCTATGCGAAAAACGTGACACAAGATCGGGCATCCCTTAAGGAAAAGTTCGTCCAATAGGAACAATCATTCATCCAGTCCAATGCTTACATAGGAGTAGTGAGCCTCCATAAAAATGAGCTGTGCTTCATTTAACAGCGTACTTTTTTTCCCCCTCGAAAAGAACGGAAACGCCTTGAAATGTACCTATATTTTTTCTTCCTCCTGCTTACACTCACCAAAAGAAACCACACCCTAAACATTAAGAAGAGGTTCCAGGTTTTGAATTATATCCATTTTAGCAACTCTAAGGCATCAATCAGAAACGTTACCTTGGTTTATTCTACTAATAAGAACTCGAGTCGGCATGAAATATACAGGAAAAGATTCGAAAGGGAGCTGAAGGAGACACTCCAATCAATTTTGTACAAAAAGGGGATTAAGATAAATTATAAGTACCACATCGATGAAGATATAATAGAAGGAATAGCGATTCACCGAGTTCAGCTGAACAGTGATTGTTCTGTGGCAAAAGTTTTTATCGAAATAATGGGAGACTCCATCGATTCCAGACAGGTACTGCACGATAATTAGCAAGAGTGAATAAGTTTACTACACCGGAATGGTCACATCTTTTTTATACCGCATTGTTGCATACAAAATAGCGCTACTGCTTCGTCATTTGGCAATTTTTTTCACCCCTTTTCACCGCTTCCCCCGCAGGGCTACATCTGGATGAAGAAAAACTGCAAACGAATTCGCTACATGTTGGCCCAAGCAATTAAACATCGGAAAAGAGTCCCATTTTTAAATTTCGTCCTCAGCAATTTAAGCGAGCAAACACAATTGTTTTGTCAGATGGAAAACATACGGGAGTACTACGGAGAAATGTTTAAGGAGGACTTGGGGCAATCTGAATCAAACGGGGAAGAAACAGATGGGGAAGTGAAGTGGGAAGAAAAAGGGGACACTCACTACCCGCAAAATGAACAACTGGGCAACGAACAATAGTTACCCAAAACAGCTACAAGGAAGGAGCGCACATGTTACTCATGCCCACGCACGTGCACAATTCTGCTAATCACAAGTGGCCCAGCATTTTTTCCTTTTCTTTCTTTTTTTTGTGTTTTTCGTGAAAAAAAACCTACAGTTGCACATTTCCCTCCACAACTTCCATCACTCAAAATTCGACTAAACTTGCGAAAAAATTCATTTAAAAAGAAGCTGCACATATATATGCACAGTTCTGTCCGTTCTGGTAATCAAAAGTTAGGCGAAAAAACACACACATCGAGCAAATACAACAGCAGAAAAAAATATGAACCGTTCAGGCATTTCACAATTTGGAAAAAGAAAAAAAAAAAAAAGAAAAAAAAAAAGGACGTGTATACGAGTACAATAATTTTTAGCTAGCTCAAACATTTACAAAAAAAAAAAAAAAATTAAAAGTAACTGAAAAAGTAATCCAACAAAGGGAAACCCGAAGGATGTTTCATTTCAAAGTTGCATGACTTTTTCTTCTCACAAATAAGCCTCACATTGACTTTATGTTATCCAATTTTTGAAAAATTGTCAAACGTGGGCGAATTTCAAAATGTGCTGTGGTGTAAGACAGAGGGGGAACGTCGTGAAATGGGATGGCCCTCCACTAAGCATTGAATGCCGCTCTGGGTCGGAATCTCACACTTCTTATTTTTTGCGTGCCTCCTTTGGGACGTAAAATATCACACTTCCCATCACAATGTGCGTAAATATGTTCATGTCATTTGGTAATTTACATCTATAATGTTGAAGCACCATAGAGGTGATAAACACCACGACGGTGACGGCCACCACAAAGGACTCCTCTCTTACGATGGGCCTATTTAACAAAAAGGTGCTCCATCAAATAGGCGTCTTCCTTATTTCCATAATACAACGGTTCTATTCCCTTCACTTTATAATTTAACAAGTTATTGTACAAATTTAGCGCGGCATAGTTGCTCACTCGAACGTGCAAGGAAATGTTATGGACCTGGTATATATCATTTACAAATTGGTGTGTCTGAGTGATTAAATAATAAGCAAGTTTCTGCTTTCGGTACGTTTTCAAAACAGCAACTGAAGTTAAATGACCCTTCTTATCATTTTCTTCTTCCAACTTTCCTAAGGTGTATCCACAAATCTTTCCCTTTCCATCCTCTGCCACTTGGCTCAGCGATGGCCACGATAACGCATGGTAAAAATAATATCTCATGTTGTAATTTTCGGGTAGGTTTACGCTATTGCACTGTTGCATGGACAACAGGTCGTAAATGTTGCCCTTCCTTATTGACAGCATTGGCGTAACAAATGAAAAAAGGAAGGAACAAAAGAGTGAGGCTTCTTACAAATACAAATAAAAAATACCAACAAAATAAATATGTGATTATTTTGAAATAGCTTTTCCCCACGTTGTTCCTCCTACACATTACGACGTGGCGCCTGTTAAATGATCCAGCTCGTAATCTTAACAATGAGGAGGACAAATGAGAAAACTGCTATGCCTACGGAGTGGGAAAAACAACTGTGACTCTAATACTCCCTTCCAGCTGTGCAAAATATACTTTTCTTTCAAGGGGGAAAGGTCATATACAAGCATGCATTCTTGCAATAACGAATGTAGCGAATGATATATATTCTGGCAAAAACAATTCATAAAAAAGAAAAAAATAATCTATATGTCCTTCAGCTGCGAAAAAGGTAGCGTTATCATCTGTGCCCTCCATGCATTGTTGATTCTTCCCTTTCGTGCTGCAAAATTCGATATTTAAAAAAAAAAGATTGACTCAGGAAGAAGGGCAAACTTATGCAGCAGCTTCTGAAACGCGACCCCCTAGTTCTTCCTCCCTCAAATGATTTTAAAGCTCGTGTGTTATTTTTTCACCATTTGAAGGTAAATCTGTTACATATATATATTTATATTGCTTAGGTTTTTCCTCGCCCTATGTGTTCTATTTTTTAACTGTCATTTGGGAAAAGAAAAAAAAAAAATACCTAACTGGTATACATACGTAGGTTCACTCCATCCCGCACGGTAATATGCTACCCATTCCGGTTTAACTAACACTTAAGTGGCCATTTATTCTCCCCTCTTTTTGCTATTAAATGAAAGTTAACAGAGCGAAAAAAGGAAACTTTGCAATACCTGGCAATGTTTCTTCATTTTCCGCTGCACAATGTACAAAAAAACGGTCGCTGCAGTTGTTCGCGTCTCCCCGCAATTTTATGCGGGGGATGATGAACAACGCCAAAAAGGGGGAAGCAATTTGACCACGCACGTGAAACATACCAACAGGGTGATTAAATAAGTTCGTATTTTTTTTTCTACTTCTAAACGAGAGGGATATATTTTTATAACCCCAAACAGCACTGTTCACCTTTTTTTTTAATAAACTTTCGCACCATAGACGATGGTGACCGAGAAGTAATTTCACCACACGTACACATGCACATGGCATAATGGTGGGGGAGGAGAGAAATGTAACCAAACAGTATACCATAGCCTTTTTTGCCACACGAACAGAAACACGTTTGACAGAACAGACGAGAAACACTTAGTTGATTCCTAAGTGGTTGATTTCCATCTTTTCGATTGTTTCTTTTACAAATCGATGCATGAAGAAAACGCGGAAAGGTGGGTGTGACGGGGGAAAAGCACAGATAAAGACTAAATACTAAAAATAGAAGAAGAATAAGTGATAAAATAACAGAAAAAATAAGGGAAAAAATAAGGGAAAAAAGTTAGTAACACAAATTAGTGCAAAAATAAAAACGCTAATTACCAAAACGGGGCTGCTCGAGCGGCGAAGAAACCCCGCTCGCCTAACCGCGAAAGACGTTCAGAAGAGTTGCGCAACGAATAGCTACACACCGCAAACGAACCCGTGTGCGAATACGCTGCCAGTGTATGTGGCCTACCCAGGGGCGTCCAAAAATAGGGATGATCGCAAAAGCAGGAAGTTGTCGGAGTACAAAAAAATGTACCAAAACACCCGCGAAACAAACATGAGATGATATATATCGAAGGGCTCAGCGGAGTAGCCCGTGGACGTGCTCTCCCCATTTATAGCTAGTCTGTAAATTTCGGCACATTGCATATTCTCTGGTATGGTCATGAAAACCTCATGTAGGTTTATATTTTTGTTCCACTTGATATTGCTCAGTCGGAAAAAATGACCCCCCTTTAATTTTATATACCTCATGGCCACCTCCTCGGGGGTTAAGCTATTGTACAGAGTAAAGGGACCCTCGAAGAAGTACCTCCACTCATGCTCCTCTAACGTACAACACGAAATGTGAATCATATAAATTAGCGCCGTCTGAATCATGAACAGTGGATATATTTTCTCCAAAGAAATCTGAATTTCATCAAACGATACCAGTCGAGACAGAAACATATCATTTGACATGTGCCACTTGGGTACATATTTGTAGGACATTTTTTTATTTTTCCTCATTAGTAGTTCTTCCACTGAATTTGGATTTCCCTCATCAGTGTGTCTGCTCGGTTTCCTCGGTTTGCTCGTACTGTATGGTTCTTCCTTTTTGTCCTTCTTAAGACTCGCATATTCCGACGACGAATGGGTTATATGGTTACCTTGTCGGGGCACTTTTCCTTCCCTTTCACTTTTCTTCTTCCCTTTTGAGAACGCTCCCCAGTTTTCATCCCCCATCTCATCATCCAAGCTGCTGGGAATATAATCCAAGGAGGAGCTGCTGGACGTGTCGTCATATTCACCGCGATTGGCAGCACATTCCCTTCCCTTTCTCAAATAGCACTTGTAGTTGATGTAATAAGAGGAATCCACCATGGGAGTCGTGTCACCATGTGGCACCCCCGCAGCTTTCCCATATTTTCCTGTCTCAACCCCCAAATTGGATGACAGAAAAACGAACAATTTAATAATGTCATAGATTATTTTATTTCTCAGTAGAACCATCTCAACATTCTTCCCTTGATACTTCAACAAATTTAAGAAGGCATTTCTCGAATTGAACACCTCATTAGCTTTTTCACTTTGATACAATGAAATAAAATGTCTACTCGGCACGGGGAAATCGGGAATGACATAAGGGACATACCTCATGCTCCTCATGAAACCATTAAAGCTCACATTTTTGGGAAATATTTTCTTCTCACAAAGTATATGTTTAGGCAAATCTGGGTCAGAAAAGCAGATGCCCCAGAACACTTCATCAACGGAGGTGAAATTTGGGTACCCTTTCACTTTGCTCATATTTTCTGTAAATAATTTTAGCGTCCTTAAATTTATTTCTTTCACCTTCTTTGCCGCGTCAACTGTGTTGAAGAAATTTTCGTACGTCGAGGATACCTCCTCGATGGTTTCGCTTACCCAGTATGGTTCGGCTTCTCCACTGCAGTGAGGAGCACCTTCACATGGGAATACGTCAGTTCCGGCTTCTTCCCTCGGCACAGTGATTTTTAGCGAGTTCGTTCCTAGGAAGTCCGTTTCTAGCGAGTCCATTTTTAGCGAATCCGCTTTTAGCTCATCCTGATGATCCTCCTCCTTCCACTTCGCAAACGTAGCGCCGATATCACCCTTTACTTCCTCTTCGTAGATACACTCTGAGTGTTGCCTCCTCTCCTTGTCTGGGAAGTTCTCTCGGAGATGCCGATTCGATTTTCCCGTCTTTACCATGCTGTTCACCTGGCCTGTCTTTTTCTCCCAATCCACTTCTTCTCCTTCCAGGGGAGAGAACTTCAAAGGGGAGTTGCAGCAGCGGGGGGGAATTGCCCCTTCGTGTGCATCACTCCACCTGTTCATACAAGGTCTCTTTCCATACTTAGCGTACAACTTGGCAGTCACTTCGAGCATGTGAGTGGCCTCCTTTTCGACAACTCTCTCGTTCAGTGAACTGCACCCCCTGTGCGCCTTCTTATACTCTCGCTCAAATTCGAGGAGTGCCTCAAAAAAATGCTGCACTGAGGGAAAGTCATAATAGTACAAAATGAACTCCTTCATCTTCCTCATTTTGCTCTGTACCTTTTTTTTCCGTACATACCTATAATAATCTGACTGGTGCGGCGGCCTACCCTCATAGAATCCATCGAATGTATTTTTCTCCTCTGAGTCTTCCTTTAAATCTTGTACCAAAGCCTGGTGCACATACAGAGTTTTACTTGACTCATCCTTCAACCCGATTTCTTCAATATTTTTTACGAAGAAAAAAGCATCCTTGGGAATGAAAATTTTGTCCAGAAAAAAAAAATTATTTTTAAAATGTATATTAACTTCTCTGGTCAATTTGAGATAATTCATTTTATTCTTCACCAAATGTACGTTTTCGTTTTTCTCTCCATGTAGACTTGAACTTTGCTTCATTTTATTCCTCTGCGGATTCAGCATGTAGAAGCATCCTTTATTCTCCTCATAATCCAGAGGGTATGATTTTAACAGGCAAAATAAGTTTTGCAAAATCACCATTTTATAGTCGAAGTTCCCAACATTGTATCTGCAAAATGAGTGGAAGTTTCTCCACATGACGTATTCTTTAAAATAATTTTTACTCATTTCCTCGTTTATTTTCTCCTTGAGCAGCTCGCAAAATTTCTCGATCGTGATGCTATCCGCCAGTTTAAACTTCATATATAGGTACCAGAATATCTTTTTCACTTTGTTCAGCTGCAAAATTTCGTTAAGTGAAATGTCCAGGGCTCCCAGATGGTCTTCCATCCTGTCTAGCAGGGTGGCACACCACTTCTCCGCCCCTCCTCCGCTTCGTCCTTCATTCGTATCGATTATTTTTTCACTTCTCCCTTCAATTGGTTCTCCTCTTATGTGTCCATTCTCCACTTCCTCTTCACGGCTAAATATTCGATCTACATATTTTGCAAAATACATCCGAGCGTCATCTTTTGCCCTTTCATGCGTGCCTCTTCTTCCCTTCTTTATCACCTCCCCTTCTTTTTCTCCACCTCTCGCGATCCTCCTCCGTTCCCTCTCCAACACCCTTAGCAACTGCATTATGCACTTCATTCCTAGATCCTCCTCACAACTCTTTCCTGGATCCTTTACCTTCCTTCTGTCGTCAGTTAATTCGGGGTTACGCCTCTCATTATAGGCCAGGTTATACGCCACATTAGATGACATATTATACGCCCCTTGGACTATCTCGTCGGCGGAATCTCCCCCCTTTCCTCCGCCTCCCTTTTCGAAACTCACTTCACTAGTGAAGGACTCATGCCTTGACGACTTCCCCTTCTTCACATCGTCACTGCGGAAGGAACATACAACATCCTCACCTCCCCCTGCATCGTGCGTTATGTACACATCTCGGATGTCCTCCTCCCCCCGAGTACTCATCTCATGCATGTCTTCCTCGTGCTTATCCAACACAGGGGCATCCTCCCTATATGTATTCACTTCGGCAGGGCAATTATATGCCACCAGATTCTTTCCACCGTTTTGTCTATTCTGCTCCATTTGCTCCCTTGTGGTGAAGTATAAATCTTCCGTGGGTTTCCCCTCCCCAGGGACCTCTCCCTTTTCCACTTCGCCAGCATTTTCTATAAGTACCTCACTCAGCGATCTGGCAACGTTATGAATTCTGCCCTGACACCCATACTGGTGCTTCAAACTTCTTTCACCTCGTGTCGTTTCGTCTGGGGTGATCCGGCAGATCCTCCCCGCGAAACGGTCCAACCCGTCTGCACCTGTTAAGCTGCACTTACTAGGTAATCTTCCTCCACCTATTAAACTGGACTTATTTTCCAGCCCCCCACACGCACTTCTCTGTGTTACCACCTCCCCCATATGCATACCGCCGTTCAGGGGGCACCAGTCCGTGTGATGCTTACTCCTGCTCTTGCACAACTTGAGGGGATTATTCTCCCCTCCCCCGTCAGCATCCCCACAGTGATGCAGGGAATCACAGAAGAAAGGCCTATCAAATTGGTGAGGCGCATCACTGGAACATTCCACTTCTTCCCTCTTGCTAATTATCCTGGAAACATTCCTCCCACGGATTGTCTCGGAGAATGTGTGTAGGGAGACACCTAGCATGCGCTCCGCCCTGCCTGAATTGTCGTTCAATTCGTGAGGATGTGGAAAATTCATTTCGCTGCTCCTATTGGGCGGGATGTCTGTGCAGTTCTTAGGGGGAAGTTTTGCGCCCTTTCCATGGAATCCACCCTGAGTACGGATCCCCCCATGGGGGATGCCCACAAAATGTTGCTTCTCCTCATTTGACTTCACACAATTGGTACACGTCACACAATTGGCACACTTCATACAATTGGCAATTTTCCCACATTTGGCATACTTCACAGAGTTTACGCAGCAGTGCAGAGCCTTCTCCTCCATAGTGGCGCAAAAAACACTGGGAAAATTGCCCTCGTCTTTTTTACCCTTGCAGGAAAAACACACACCATCACTTACGCCGTAACCAACTGGGCACTCCATTCCATTTCTATTTTTTAACTGAGGAGTGAATTGACTGACACATTCGAAGTTACTAGAATGAACTGATTTCTCGTTGTGTGGAGTGCCCATTTTTTCAGACAACATTTCTGTCGCGGAGGAATTTTTTTTTTTTTTTTTTTTTTTCGCCTTCTTTCTCGATGAAGTCTTTTTCCAACTTGTGATTATTTCCACACGTAAAAATAGCTTCATTTATACGCCCCTTCTGAACAAAATTTTGTGTGCATATTTGTTTGCCTTCCCCTGGGGGGTGACCTTCCTTTTGTTCCTTTAAATGATAAAACTCATTATGCTCACAAACTGGGTATATCAGTACATCCATTTTTTTATGATTTCCTGATTTGTCACAGAATAAGACAGGTTGTTTTATTTTCCATTCATCATTATGCACATTTTCGATTTTTTTTCTCATCAGCATGTTATTTAATGAGTGTCCATTTGTGCACCCCGCATTTGGAGTATCCCCACACGTTGCTTCACTCCGTTTGGGTGTTATTTGCCCCCCTTTTATTTTTAACTTACTACATTCGTCATTTGAACTGTCATATGATCTTCCCTTTCTCGCACACACCGGCTCAGTTTCACTGTTTTTTTTCTTTTCCATCCTCGTGAAGTTAAATATATTCATTTTCGTCTCTCTCACGATGGTTTTGTGCACGGTGAAAAGGAGAAGGATCAATCCAAAAGTGGGACACTATAATTACTGTAACACGGTCTGATTTGTTCACCCTAAGGAAACTGAGATTACCGATCTACACATGTTACAACTTGTTTGTGCCGGGAAAATGCTCCAAAGGGGGGACACTCGAGGGGGCTACTCATGTACTTCTACATTTACACCGCCCTTTAGTCAGCGAGATGTCCGCGGTAAACAAGGGCATCCGCATCAATGGCAGTTCGATGTTGCTTAATTCTCTTACAAGCGGTGATGCCTGTTTGTACAAAGTGGAACACATACAAAAGAGACAGGCACCGAGGAAGGTAGACAAACGAACGGACGAACGAACCAACTGATTGATCGTTTTGCGTAAATATGCCCCTCGACACAAGTGCAACGGGATAAACGCACACGCAAAAAAAAGGTATACGTATGTGATGTGCCAATCCAGTGAGAATAAATCCAGTGGTACATGGCAAGCACACACAAACTGCTAAGTACACACTCGGGGAATAACAAAATTAAACTCAACTTGGTAGTTAAAAAAAAAAAAGGAAAAAATTCGAAGTTTTTACACAAACAGATGGGTCATGGAACTTTCATTTTTTAACTAATCAAACAATTTGACGCGTCTCCGTATGCGGTTGTGGTGTGCACACAGTTATCCTGCGTGTACCCCCATTCCCCCAAAATTGACTTCTCACATATCCTCAGAATTAATCACTCTGAGTGGGAATTTTTTTTTTCTTTTTTTACATTTCGGAAGACTTCGTACCACCGCATGCATGCGTTTGTTGGACCCTGGGGGGAAACACTAAAACACTCGCAATGAATCTACTGAAATAGGAAAAAAATAAATATAATGAAAAATACACATATATATGCAATACAAAGTGGTACCCCAACAGGCAGGAACACAGACGCGAAACCGACGCGATGCGGACGAAACCAACTGTAATCGCCCTATGGCGGGAAAGGGTAAAATTTCTTCACAATTTTCCCTTACGCTCCCCTCTTACGTACAAAATTTTCCTGCTTGTTACCCCCTGCTAACAACGCCATGTTCTGGAAAATGAAACAAAAACAAAATGGGCCAAACACACATGTGCTATACATACACAGCTGCATGAATAGACCAATTATAACCTTCCGCCCAAGTGACACAACTGCGTAAATGTGATGTGCACTGAATTGCATTCCTTCAAAATGGAGCAAACAAAAAGAAAAACAAAAAAAATTGTCTATGTTGCTCCAACGTATTCTTACAACTATTCATGAGCCACTTCAAAAATGTGCAAAAAAAATGGAACTTAAATAAGAGGCGAATTTTATTACCCCTCCCACTCTTTTCTTTTTTTTTTAAATGCACATTTTTGGGAAACCCCGGGAGATAATCAATTCCCTAAGAATGGACTCCAAAAGAAAAGAGAGACAAAATGGGTAGTAGACAAAGAAAGCGAATCTTTACAAACGCATTTCACCTTTTAATTACCCCAACTCACTCCAACGAATTGCTGTCTCACAGCGTACTTCCCCAATTGAGAATGACATAACGTACGTTTGTGCCAAATTAAGCTATCCTCATGTGGGGTTTCTTCCTTGATTAACACCATTTAATGCGCATAATGTTTGTAACGCAAGCGCCACTCTCTTAAAAGAGCATGTTCGTAAGGCAAAACACAATGTTAGTCACTGCGCTGGAGTGGATACATAGCTGGGTTTCCACATTTCACCTGTAGCATATGCACACCCCTCCTGCGGGAAGAGGCGTTTCAAAGTGTGCTTGGAAATTTTTTCGCCCATATAGAACAAACCTTCCACAGATCGAAATGTTTTGGTGCGTTTTGAATGGCGCAACTTCCCAAATGAGCACCATCTCGTGTGCCAACAAGGTAACAAAATTAATGCCTTTTTTTTTTTCCTTTTTTTTGCGCTAAGTCTATGTTTTTCCCTTTCGCATCCCTCGGTTGAGATGTACCACCCACTTTTTTCCACACATAGGGGTTACAATGTGAAAAGCATGCGTCGTGCGTCTTCTTTCCCAAAGTGTGCTCTAGGGCCTTTTTTTTTCATTTTTTTCTCGTTTTTTTTCCAATTTTTAAATTAAACTATTCACAAGTAAATTGAATTACGTTTATTCCTAAATGTTATCCACTTTTTGGTTCAATTAAAATCCTTAAAAAAACAAAAGAAGAGGCGCACAAGTGACGTAGTAAAAAACGTAACAGGAAAAGTAATAAAAAAAAGAGAAAAAAAAAAAAAAAAAAATAGAGGAATGAAAGAGTTCAAACAGAAATTTGAACAAGCACAAAATTGGGGCGTAACAATTCTCCTACTCTTCTACGAAATGTTCCTCTACCCCGTTGGTCCCTTCCTTGTACTCGTATACGTACATCCCCGGTCTTCATCAAATTAAGTTTTTTTTTTTTTTCTTTCCTTTTCCCCTAATTTACGAATCTGTTATAATAACCTCAACCTCAACCCCAGGGTCAATGTTGATGGAAGTCATCTGAGTAACCACCTCACATTGGGAATATAAATCAATGAGTCTTTTATAAATTCTGAGTTCGAATCTATCCCAGGTGTTCGTACCTTCACCGCAGGGGGATTTCCTCGTCGTTATTCTGAGCGTTTTTACTGGTAGCCTCACCGGTCCGGACACGTTTAGGTTCTTCTCCTTCGCGCCTTTCATGATGTCACTGCAGACTGAGGAGTGAAGGGGGAGGCACATATTAGAAAAAAGTGCACATGAGAAAATGCACGAGCGCAAGAAAACATGAATACACGTGGTCTCCACCATGTGTACACTGTTCAGCTCATCACGAATAATTAGCTTGGCAGGGACATTCAAAATGAATGTATGTTCTGTGTGCGCGTCATGTTAAGATGCTCTCTTCTGATCGAATGGATGATTGCTGATCCCCCAGCACATGCACGATTTTACGCAGCTCATGCTTTCATACGCCCTCGCATACGTATATATATCTGCACAGCGGATTGTTAATCTTTCGCACAAACATCCCCTATGCTATGGTGGTCGCTATCATCACAGGCTTTGCGGCTGCTTTTACTTGGGGAGCACATATCATATTCGTATAGTCCTCACTTGCACGAATGGCAAAAGTCTATGTAGACGCAAGGCCATTTCAGAAAGATGAGTTTGGCGCATGCCCATTCTTCATATACCGGCACGCACGCCAACATACTATCATACGTAGTATGTAAGGACGTGCTTGGAATTTTTTTCATAAACTCTCACATGAGTATATTTACACAGTTCGCACGAAATAACGCCCTTCTTTTTCTCCCCATTGGGCAAGGCCCTGATAATACACTGCCGTGCGATATGTTTGTTGCCCATTTGGAAGGGGGGGGAGGGATAAATTTTACCTTTCTCTACGGCCCTCAAACTTTTGGAGGTTAAAGCAATACGAATGCGACGAAGTCTAAACTTCTCGCTCTCAACGGCTCCTTTCATCAATTTACTCATTTTGGAGAAGGCGAAATATGTCAAGGTGAATTTTCGTGTTGAAAAGGTTAAAAAAAAAATTGCCAAAAAGTTTATTTTCCCCTTTTTCAAATTTTTACAATTTGCTGGGTCACATACGTTATAGGTATGTAAATACGATATGGTTGGGTATGTCACTTCTTATCTACTCTTTTGGAACATTTTTCTAAAATACAAAGGCGCTTGGATTGTTTTTAAAGATCGCTACGTGGTTTATTTGTTTTTCATGCGAATGGCATGCAATGTTACGATATTGTGAAAGATGATTTGATTGAACTTTTTTTTTTTTTTTATCTTTTAAATGTACAGTGGAATGGGCGCTATGAGGTTTTAAAAAGAAGTATTCCAGAGTCATTTAGCATTTTTTGTGCATACATTTACGTATACAATTTTGTGCCTACAATGAGGAGTAAGTAAAATGGCCTATGGAACGGCTTAAAAAAAAAAAAGAGAGGATAAGTTTACCTAGCAAACACTACCCAACTGTGTTCACTTCTTTTCACGGTGCTTAAATATTGTCACCCAAATTTTACTAATAGGCTTTTTGGCAGTTGCCATAAAAACGAGCTACATAAACCTGCCGAGAATGACCATTTGTTTTATCGCAGGGCCCTGTGCATAATGATGCGATATGTGTTTAATTTTATATGTACGCTTGTAGTCAACGCCTGCAACACAGAGAGTACACGCGAGGCACGAAGTAACGTGTTCACAGGATTCTCAATTCAGGTAACTCCATAAATGGCACATTTAATAAATTTACGTCATTTTTATTATGAAATTATGTCGCAAAAGTTTATTCATTTGTATGTCCTTTTATTATTATTTTTTTTTCCTTTTTTGCAAAAAATGTATGGTATGTTACGGGAATAAGAAGGGGAGGTACAGCAGTATGCCTTAGAAAGGTGCACCTACATCACCATACGCATTTCTGTATAGCCCTTCATGTTATCATCAAATTTATTCGCATGAATATTAGAGGCACATATATTTTTATTACATTTGTGCTACATTTGCGTATTTAATGCTGATAAATTAAGGAGGGAGTCGGAAATGTAAAAACATTTTGTAGGTCAATTAAATTGTAAGAAAGGCCCATTTTAATCGCATATTAAACATTCCGATAAAACCGCAAAGTTGGATAAATTCCGTATGTTTTTGTTTAATACCCTTCTTGAATCTGTTACTGCGAGGGCGTATGACCTCCACACGCTTAAAATTAAGCACATCGCGACCTAGGCTCTGAGTTCTCACAAGGGACATATCTTCAATTGCGGTTTTAAAACATGCTTACCCCATGGGAGTGAAAGTGCCATTTTTATGTGTACCTTTTTGCCTCATCAGCACGAGAGAAAGAACAAAATGGGGGAAAGGAACCATATAGAGAGTAACCGATTTAGCTACTCCTTCACCGTTCATTTTAAAATAAAACAAAAATTTTTATATCCCCACATTTACCGGACGTCATTTTTTTTTAATTATTTTCCCCTTTTAAACGGCAAACATTTTTCGAAAAGTACAGAAGTGAGAAGTTGTGCAAATTTGTCAAGGATAGAGGAGTGCGGAAAGTGTAGTTAACGTTTTATTTTTACATCATTGCGCATGTGCAAGTGAAGGCATTTCCTCCGTCTATATAGATTCATGTGAGCGATTATTTAAAGGTGTACAGGTTAAACTGCGCCATGTGCTTGGCCGCGCCCATAACTGTTTCTCCCCACTCCAGTGGAAAATTTCCGCAAAACATTTGTACATTTTTTTTTTACCTCATCTTACCTGTTGAAAAGGAGAAAAAGGCCTCGTACCCCTCATTCAGCAGTTCGATCAGCCCTTTTCCAAAATCACTAATTCGAAAAAATAGAAACATTTGGTTTGTCACCCACTATGAGCGTGTACCGTACGGGAGAAAGGGAAAGAAAAAAAAAATGTAACTGCTGATTAAATATATCTACTTAACCAAATGAGCGAATTCTGGTGGCGTTTCATTATCCCATGAACATAGAGGAGGGAGTAGCAATTCACTCACGTCCTCAACCTGTGCAGTATATTAAAGGATGGCGAATCTGTATATGCACACATGTGTTAGTCATGTGTACATATATAAACATGCCCATAATCTATACACCAAAAATCCACACACTGGAAAAGCGTAATGAAAGTTTTTAATAATTGAAATATCTCCCGTAGAATGGGAAAAATTCCATTTTCCAGCATGTGGCCATTTCACATAAATTCCTTTTTTGTAACATATAACTATGCGACAACTAATAGGTAGCAATTTTCTTTTTTTTTTTTTTTGTGAGAGATGTGAACCGTTATATGAGAATTTTTTTTATGAACAGCCATTTTTTGTGTGCATTTTTCTTTTTTTTTTTTTTTTTAATTTACAGCTGTTTATTTACATGTGTATGGTACACCTCTACAAGCGCGTACCACACAATGTCGTTTTTGTGTGTACATTTTAAACAAAAGAGAAAAACAGAACAGCATAAAGGTGAAAAAAAGTGGGCACGTAATGTTCTTTAATTCAGACGTTAGAAATTATCCCTAATTTGTTCGTAGCAACCGCCTTTAAAATACTAAGAGTAATATGCACTCGCGAAGTTAGGTGAGTAAATTCACCTGACCTGTTCATGTGATTACCGCGTATTGTGCCGTAAAGCTATTTTTTTTTTTTTTTAAAAGGAGTAATAACTAGTGATAATGCCATTTGTGAAAAAAAAAAAACAAAAAAAACTAAACAAACAAACAAATAAACGAATAAACAAAGAAACAAATAAATAAAGGAACAAATAAATAATTAAAAAAACAAATGAATAAATAAAAAGGAAACAGAAACAAACGACGAAAAATCAGTTAACCAGTTAAATAGGTTACACAAATTAAATCTGAATGTAACAAGTTTAGCGGATAACCGATTGAACGTTAATGCAAACGTTTTTCTTAATTTTTCCTTTCTTCTTCCATTTCTTCTTTTTGTTTTGTTTTCACCATTTTGATTAGCGTTTAAAACTTAACAGAATAGTTCTTCACTTGTTTTTTTTCTTTTTGCCCCGAGCTAGTAGTGTATTTTGTTTGTGTGTTGTTTGTTCTGCTGCGAATCTGTTTTTCCGCAAATTTGTTCTTCCTCGAATTTGTTTTGCCGCAAATCTGTTCTGTCGCAAATATACTCTGTGCTATTTTTTCCCCTTTGTCATTTCCAATCGCCTTCTCCATTTTGCTTAAATTTCCCCGCGACATCCCTTCATTTAAACGCAAAAGTTTACACGCTCATCACAGAATTTGGCAAATTGCACATAAATGAGCAACTCGTGAAATTAGCCTGCGTTCCCCATAGTGCTAATTTTTAGCTAACACTTTTTTTCCCAGTTGTTTTCTTTTTTTCCTTCTCAAAAGCTTCACGTTTGTTGTGCTACTCTTGCCAGACGAACAAAATGGAAGGCTCTCAAAAAGGAGATTGCATGGAGGCCAAGGAAACTTCCACTGTTGACCGAAAGTGGGTTGCCCTAACGGCGTACCAACCCGTCGATGTCGTCACCAAAACTGTTGAAGTCCCTATTATCAAGACAGTAGAAAAATTTGTCCCAAAAACAATCATTCAAGAGAAAATTATCCACGTCCCTAAAAATGTCACCCACATTGTAGAAAAAATCGTAGAAGTACCAGAAGTTAAGTATATAGAAAAAATTGTTGAAGTGCCACACATTCACTACAAGAATAAGTACGTGCCCAAAATTGAAGTCGTAGAGAAGGTCGTAGAGAGACAGAAGATTATCGAAAAATGGCATGACAAAATTGTGGAAGTGCCTCAAATTAAGGAAGTAATCCGATTTAAAGAAATAGAGGATGCTGAGGAAGTCATTAAATACATTCCAAGAAACTCAAAAAATATTAACTGGGAAGAGGAGTACCAAAAGTATACGGAGAGACAGACACAAGAGAGATACAGCTTAGGTAACAACCCCTGTCACCAGAAAATGAACTCCTATAATGAGTATAACGAGAAGGCATACTCACAAAACGCCTACAGCAGAAGTTTAGATTTTTTGAACAAGCAATCTTCCAGCCTAAATAATCAGAGCAATATGAGAAGCGGAGACTTTTCCCAAATTAATTTCTTCAATGAGTACAGCGGAAGTGGCGGAGTAAGTTACGAAAAACACAGAAACAGCATACCCAACTCCAGCTTCGACGCACGTGGAAGCTTGCAATTGAAGAGACTGCCCTCTGAGGAGGCCAAGCCCGTCGGCTGCTGCACGTCCCCCTGCACCTGAGCGGGCTGGCGGGTAAGCAGTTAGCAGGCTAAGCGGCAGGTCGGTCAGCTCTCCCTATATCCCATTTTTTTAACCACATTTCGATATCCGCGCGTTGTAAGATGAAGCACGTAGTGGGAAGTTGGTGCGCGTCGCGTCCCCCTTTTTTTGTGTGTGCAATTTTGAAAGTGATGGCCCCACCGCCGACCGCGTCGCAGTGGCGTTGTTTAGACGTTCTTTTGACGTCGTTTAGACCTTGCTTCGACGTTGCTTCAACGCTGTGCTATAACGACGCGCTGCCATTCCCTTTTTCCCCTCTGTTAAGTGAAACAAAACAAGACAAAAAAAAAAAAAATGAATAAGCAAATATTTTAATATATTTTTTCCCCTCCGGGAATGCGCCTTTCACGAATGTTTTACCTTAAACAAAAAAAGCAACGAAAAAAAAAAAAAAAAAAAGCGAACTGATACAGGATTACGATCATGCATGATTCTACCTCTACGTATATTTACCCACAGACGGGTGATCGTAATAAATCTCGCTACGTATTCCGTGAAAAGTCACAATTTTTCTGTCTTTTTCTTTTTTTTTCGTGTTTTTTTTTTCCAAAATAGTTCTAATTAATGTTAAAAAAAAAAAAAAAAAAAAAATTTTAATTAAATAGTGCCATTACCCGTTGCCATGCATTTGGCTTGAGACAAAAAAATTTAAACAAATGGCTTGTTAAATGTGTTCGTCCAATTTGGGAGCAGTTTTATTTGTGTTTACTTGGGGCGTTAATTTGGGACTGACCTCGGGGCGCGAAACGAAGGTTTAACGTGATTGCGGTCAGAAGGGGCAGAACTTAGCGCGGTTGATGTCTTTTGAGCGCTGTAGGGCATGGTTGGGCGTCGTTGGATGCGCGCTTACTCCTTCCCATTGAGTGTCTGCCCCATTTAACCAAGTCGAATTTATGCAGGCAGGCGCGCACTCCCGCAATTACCTCATCTTTCTCTTGACGGATGCACCTTAAACTGCGTTTAAATTGGTCCTCCAACGCTACGACGCTGCAACACTACAACGGGTGCCTTGTGTGTGTTGCTGTATGGGGGGTCACTCCTAATGAGGTGCATACATGTGGTATCACACACTGGGCGCTCCGATGATAACATAAAAAAAAAAAAAATTGGCATGCCGCAACAGAGACGAATCATGCGAATGAGAAAAGAACACACCACCACCACCCCTTACGCATTGTTCGAAGCGCAAATGTTCCTGTACGCCGTCGTCTTGTCCAACCCTATGTAGTGAATTTTTTTCTGCAAAAATTGATCTGCCGCCTTGAGGTCTGAGACCAGGTCGTACACATTGGTATGCTTCTCCAGCTGCGTGATCAAACTTAGGTGGTCCCTCCATGTGTTTATGGCATTACATAAATCAATGATTGGGTTTAGGAAGCTCGGGAAGTTTTTCCTCACCGCCTTTTCAAATTCGTTAAAGTTGTTTTGTGAATTATCTTCCCCCTTGGGGTAATGGCCGTCTCGTCTTCCTCCCTTCTCCGCCTCTTCGCATTCGTAGCTGTCGCTACCAGCTCCCTCGCTGCTCCTCCTTCGTGCGCCGCTTCCACCCACGATATCGTCACTGTTTGATCCACTTCCCTCCCCTTGAATCTCTCCACCGATGAACCCCTTCCCCTGATCAATGCACACCTCCTCCACAGTGCTGTCCCCCTCATAGGCATTGTCCTCATTCGGTTTGTTATTACGTGTGGTGCAACCCTTCCAACTGTTAGCATCACTTGATTCTACTTCTTCATTATGCTTATTTGAATCACTCCTCGAAGAATTCTTTTTCAACTCTTGAAAATCCCTCTGTTCAACAGGCTCCATTTTGCTAACCTCTCCGTTTTGAAGTGGGAGGGGTGAGTCCCCTTGGGCGACTTTTTCATCCCTTCCGTCTCGACTTATGTGGTTAATCTTGGAGTTATTCTCTTCCGCATCTCCCATGATCATTTCACTCTGTACCTTTCCCTCTACTACCGCTGCAGATTTTACCCCCCCTCCATGTGCCCTTTCAGAGGTAGTCGTTTCGCTTTCACTGGTGGAGCCCCCTGAACCGTTACGGAAGGTCGTCTTCTCTCCCTTTTCTAAATCGTCAAAATTGAATAGCAAAAAATATTTCGTTAAAACACCCATAAGATGGTGTGTTACGAAAAAACCGGAAATGCTGCTATCATTAGGATTGTACAGATTTTCCGGAAAAAGGTGAATTAAATCCATATTACTTATAAGCACATTGGCAACACATGCTTGTAGCAACTGTCTCAACGTTTTTTTAATAATTTTCACGACAGCGAAAAAGGCACACAGATCAAAGTCAATGAGTCCATCATATGTTGTACGTTTGTCTATGTCTACATTGTATAGTGAATATATGCGAGACAAAAGGGTAACACTTTTTTTATCCTGTTCAGTCAAATCTTTACACTTCAAGACAGACGCGTATGCATTTTCTGGATAAGACTTCCCATTTGGAGGTACCAATGGCTCGGTGGTTAAGAAGCCGAATTTCAACAATTCAAATATGATCAGAATGTTGCTGTCGATATCTTTGTTTCTCACTTCTGAGAGGAGAAGACCAAAAACAGTCACTCCGCAATTTTTGGTAAAGATTCCCAGATTTTCCAGAAACATGTAGTACACCAGGGAGAGGATGCTTTCGAAATTCTGGTTGCTCACGTTGAGCAGCTTTTTGTAGTAGTCATTGTAATGCTTCGTCAGTTGGTCTGAGCGCGACTCGCCCTTGGCTGCACTTTCCACGTCGGATGCATCACCCGTGTTGGAGATGTCCTCCCCGTCGGAGGAGCCCCCCACGATGGATCCATCTTCCACATCCTGCTCATCCCCTGTGTACCCTCCTGAGCTCTGTGCCGCTTCTCCCGTGACGCGGCCATTCCCTCCGCTCCTGCGACTATCGCCACTTCTACTGCCTCTACCGCTGCTTCCACTTCTGGTGCTGTTCCCACTCCTACCGCAGGCGCTCCCCTCGTCCGATTCGGGCACGCCGCAGACAAGCGATATGCTCCTGCTCTCCGAGTACAAATGCCACCGCAAAATGAACTGCAAGTCAACCTTGCTGATGTTCTGTCTCTTTATCTCTTCACTCACGTTTGCCTTATTGATGTCCCACAGAAAACCATCCACCAGTTGTACATCGAGGTACGTGAAGTTGTCCTTTCCGTCCAGAATATTATTCACATAGTATCCATAATCAAAAAATTTGATCTTCCTTTTGTAAAAAAATGGATTCAACTTCACCGAAATGAGTCCCAACATCCGGCAGCGATACTCTCGTAAATCCATCAGCGAGTCTCTATACTCAAACGAATCGATTATCGGGTGTGTGTAATCTATCCACTCTCCTAACGCTAGAACACATAAGATCTTTTTGCTGAGAAGTCCAATGGACATTAGATAATAAACGCTCGTGGGAAACTTGGCTCCAACCACTTTTAAATAATTTTCCGGTATGACCTGCTCAACATTGAAGCTTTTTTTTTCTTCTTCTTTTTCTTCCTTCGTTTTTGTTTTTCCCTTGAGGTTGCCTTCCCCCGACATCTCTTCCTTGTTCAGGCAATTTGCTCCATTTCTGGGGATAAGCGGTTCATTCTTCTGCATGTGATCACTACTAGAGACGAAACATCCGACGTTGTTCTTATCTGCTTCGCCATTGTTATACGATTTTCGCTGTGGCGCATTGCTTTCTTCGCCACTTCGCACAGTACCTCCCTCTTTGTACGCGATGGTTACATTCTTGCTTGCCTCGGCATGCCCTTCGTTCGCTCCTTTCCCGGGCGAAATGGCGTCCCCCGGTCGATCTAATTGGCCGGATGGAGCTGGTCTTCCTGCTTCACCGCAACTTGGAGACACGCCTCGACTATCCTTCCCCACTTTGCGGGTCTCTTCCAACGTGGGAGCATCATCCTTCCCCTCCGCACCGTCTCCATGACGCAGCGAGTTATGCACACTGTCCCCATTTTTCACACCGTGCACATCTACATTGCGCGAATTCTCCACCGCTTCCCCCTTTGAGCGGTCCTCCCTTTCGCCATCCATCTGTTTCCCCCCCTGGCAACTTGCCTCCAAGTCATCCCCTTTCACTTCACCGCTGTTGGAGAAAAAATCCACCTCCCCACTGCAAAGCAAAACGATAGGGAATTTTAAAAGCGCTTTACAAACACAATACCCTTGGATATGATTTGCCCCTACTTCATCATTTGGAAGGTGTTCTAAGTATCTTACGAGAGATGCCTGCTTGATAAATTCGATGGCTGTCTCGAAGCTGAATTCATTCCTCCCATGGTTAAAGTGAGACAAATTTAAGTAAGGAAAAGTTAAACAATATTCTGTACCTGCTAATAAACATGCATCAAGAAGCTGCTCATTCGTTACATTCCAAATCTTCAGTAAAAATAATAAGTCCACCCATTCGAAATAATTCTCCTTCCATTCGAAATTTAGAATAACTTTCGACACATTCTGCAGGATAATCGTCGGAGGACCAAACACTAAATCTATCAAATGGATATGTACAAAATAGGACAGCTGTGAAATGGCTAGATAAGGAGCATACATACATTTGAATCCTTTATTTTTTAAATAATGGAACAATATAAAAGAAACATCCGAATTACATATGTTGGATACTTTTTCGAAATTTGAATTCGATAGCTTCTTCTCCCTGTTTACATAATACAGCCATCCCTCTTCTATATTCTGGTGCACTGGTGCTGAAAAAAGTTTGTGGGCCCTGGGCGTAATCCCATCAAACACGAAGATCACCTCTATGTTTAGACTCTTGAAATGCTCACATTGCTTGTCTATAAGGTGAAATATACATGGAGAAATACACCCCGACACGTCACTTAGAACATCTTTCAACTCACTGCACGTTCGTAGAAAGTATAGCGCATCTACCCCTAACGTTAAATTCTTTATGTCATCCAGTGCACTCTTTTTCAGGAGATTCCGCTCTGTTAGGTAGCTCTGCAGCCGTCTAACCCTCATTTTGGTCCCTCTCGCGTGTTGCTACTAGGTCAGGGTATAGGCGGCTTCTATATTTGCTCCTTACTGCGCCTAGGGGTCGCGGGCTGCGGTACACACTAAAGTATATCTACGTACGTATCTATATGTACGCACGTATATTTACATATGTACGCAGTTCGATAAAAAACTAGGCCCTCTTCCACCGTGTGCTTTCCCCTGGAGACCTCCACAAACGTGCTGCTCCTCCAGACAAGAATACCGTTCGGGAGTCAAAATGAACAGCTTCTCCCCTTCCTGGTAGACTATTACCATGTGGACATGAGGATTCCCTAACAGGGCTGCCTCTCCAAGGGACGTGTTACGTTAAAAAAAAAAAAACGGGAGAGTCTTCTTCGTGGGGGGGGGAGAAAAAGCTTATCTGCCCTGGCTAGCTACAAACATGTATACCAGGATTTTCAGACCCACATGGCTTTTTCACCTCCTCCGGGGATTCTTCAAAGATGCACCTGTGCGTGCCACTCAAAGGTGTATCTTAATTTGCATGCACGTGTAACTTGCACATGATGGGAAAAGAAAGAAAAAAAAAATTATCTATTTTGGCAGCAACTCATATGTACAACTGGGATGGTCACACACGCGCGTGAGGCGGAATGGCCTACTAGCACTATCCCTTTTGTAACTTCGGAGAAAGGGAACACTCCAATGAGGGGTACTTTTCGACCAAAACCTTAAGCGGTTCTTCCCTTCCTGCGCTGCGAAGTAAAACGCACTGGTGGAGTTGTGCACTGACATCTCCCTTCACTAGACGCACACACAAGCTAACGGGGTAGAGTCATTGACGCAAATTCAACCAAATGTATAGCCATGCAGGTGTGCACAAATGCGTTGCGTCTTATGTGCATTTTACGATGGGGCTAATTTGGCCCTACACATGTGCAGCGGAACCATGCGCAGCAAAAAGGGGGGGCATAAAATGGGGGCACGGAAAAGGGTAGCAACTGTGTAGAAGAAAAGGTAGTAGTTGTGTAGAAGAAAAACGTAGCAGCCGTGTGGACGAAAAAATCGCGAATTTCTCAGCACCAATAAAAACACACTTGCATGGAAACATACACGCAAGAAAGGGGGCCCCTTAAATTGCAAAGTCGCGAATGTAGAGGCTAAAACTTAACTGTAACAATGAGCAGTGCATCTCCACAATGTAAACGAAAAGGCATATTAAAAAAAAAAGTGGGAAGGAAAGAAGAAGAAAAAAAAAAAAAGTCCTCTATATGCTAACTCCCAAAGGACCGGAAAAAATGAACACAAAGGTGAGGCGGGGCGAAAAAAGAAAAATTGCAAAAAGTTTAGGAAAAACGCACGAAAAAAGTACCATAAAACGTCTCCCCCGTAAAAAATTGCCACAAATCTGCCCTGCGCATATAAAAGCGTGCATCCCGCAAAAGGGGGTACTACTGCTACTGCTGCTACCGCTGTTACTGCTGGCACTACAACCTAAGTGCTAAATACACAAACGTGGATGCACAAATACGGCGGAGCAAAAGTTTTCCCACGTGGAAGTAAACAGGAGGGGGACATGTTTTCTCACAATTGGCACAGTTTCCCCAGCTCTATCTCTCTCACGCGGTCGGTCCGACAGTCGATCCCACAGTCGGTCACCCAGTCTCTCAATGGGAGAATGCACGCGCACTCCTCTTCACTACAAGCGTACACATGTACAAAAGGCATGCCCTCTCATGACATAAAATACACCACGCGAAGGTACACGTATATTTATGTATCTGTTTATTTTATTTTATGTATTCTTAATGTGGAACTTCGTTTGTTTCCCCCTTAATGAACACACAGGGTTACATATGTTCGAAAAAAATAAAAATAAAATAACAGTAAAGATTAGCACTACAGTTACGTGACGTTACATGACGTTATGTCACGTTACGTCAGGTTCTTTTTTGTTTCACCCAGGGGGGCATCTTCTCATTTGTAAATTTAAATTGCAGTCGACGGGAAGAAGCACATACTGCATTCCGTCCTGTGAAGTGCAGGGAAAAGGGGGCGAAATTGCGAAGCGCTCAAGGTACCAAAACTGCTAAAACACACAGTGATATATAGGAAGTGCAAAATGACACAGCCACATTGCTGAGCAATACACATGGGACATTTTTTACACAAACTTTTTTTCCCTGCCATAGCATACTTCTATAAAAATTCAGCACAAACGTGACCATCAGGAAAAAAAAAACATCGCTCGGTTGCATAAGGCACTGGCGTAGTGACGCCGCGACGCGCTGACGTGACGCCATACGCACGAAATGATCATCACACCCTACAAAGCTACACTATACAGTTTCCACAAAAATGAGAATTTTAACATTTCGCAGTAAGCCTGAGCGCATGTCCGCTCTAGCGATAACGTAAAGAATGTGTTTTGTGGCGAAAAAAAAAAAAAAAAAAGTTTGCGAAAATTGTGAAGAGAGATACCAACAAAATAAACTTTTTTTTTGTACGTACATGGCTGCTCCACTCCATATGCACATAGATAACCATCTAGCAGATAAGGCAACCCTTTTTTCTTTTCTTTCTTTTTCTTCTTTCTCTTTTTTTTTTTCTTTTTTTTTTTCTCTTCTTTTTTTTCTTTTTCTTCTTTCTCCTCTTTTTTTTCTTTTTTTTGTGTGTATAGGGGAACCCCTTATGGAGGAATTTCAAGTGCTAAGAATATTTCCTCCTTTGTGTGTATTCATCCCGCTTAAGCGAAGCTTTGGACACGCGGCGATGCACCTCGCCTTCTAAATAAAAAATAAAAAAAAAGGGCAACCTTTTGGCGCACACACAAAAGGACCAATAGCGTTAACTCGCGCAAAATATAAAACGAAATGAGTTAAACGTTGTCGTGTGTAAATAAAAGAAAATGACTAATCATCCCCCGTGTGTTTTTTTTTTTCTATATAAGCTAGCCCACAGTGGCGTACTCTCCTAAAGCGCATGAACGATTGATAAAACAAAAACAAATTGGCCAAATGTGCTAAATTAGCGAAATGCAGATGAGCCTATATGCCCACATGCGCTACCCCCCATATCACTCCTTCGCGCGGGAAAGCACATCACGCATACCAAGTGGATAACGAGACGATAAATTAAAAGGTGACACCCGTAAAATGTGCTGTTGCAAAGATGCGCGTTTCTGTGCAGCCAGCTGGAGCGGCAGCGCACACGAAGCATTCAAGTAGGGATAAAGATATCAAAACGAAAAAGAAAAAAAAAAGTTTATACCCCCCCGCAGAGGTACACAAACCTGTCAATGGCTCACTCAGAAATATTCCGCAAACTCGTCCTTTATGTTTAGCAGCATCGGGTCGTCAAAAAACCTGTTAATCGTAACATCCTCAGTTAACCCTTTCCTCCTCCTCGTTTTCAGCAGAAATTCCCGGGCCAGATGCTGAATGGGCGCTGGCTCCAGGGGTCTTAAAATGACGGACTTGTCTAGAGGGTCCCCTGGTACAATATGCCAATGGTCAAACATACTCAAACAAAATGCCTGGCCACTTGTGTGTGTCCTTAAATCAGTTTCGAATCCGAAGGATTCAATTGCTGGTATGTACGCGTGAACCATATACAGGGGGGTTCCCACTTTGGGGAAATCTTTCAATACGTGTCCTCTTCTTCTAGAGAGCACATTATATACAGATGAGACAGAATCACCTGAGCAGATAATTTCGGTGAATAAAATGGGTTCCATTAACCTCGGGGTAGCTAATAAGAAAGAGGAATATATAGCTCTCCTCGTTGTTGGTATAATTTGTCCGGCGCCTCTATTGATTGGGTCGTCATCTATTTCACCTTTCAAAATTTTCACCTTAACATTTTTCATGCACTCTTCAATTAGAGGTCCCTCCTTCGTGGCCCAGCAAAATCCTTGGATGATATTCTCCTTAATGGAATAGAGGTTTTCCTTGTTTGTTTCCTTATACAAGGTATCGTCGACTAGGACATTTGGGCTGTTGCTTTCTGGTCCGAAGGCCCAAATGGATCGTATGGACAACATATCCCAGTTGTGCTTCTCAGTCAGCAACGAGATGACGTTCTTGTCTAGATTGTAATTCAGTGTCTGCGTTCGCTTTTCCGAGGGGAGGTCTCCTTCGTCTGCTCCGTTTAGACGGGCTTCATCGGATTGGTCGGGCTCGTCCATCGTTTCCTCCACCGCTTCGTCTACTGCTTCCCCCGTTGACCCCACCTTTTGCGCTTCCAGCGATTCCGCCGCTCCCTCCTCCCGCAGCAGCCCGTCGACCGTGCGCAGGTACTCCTCCACGTTGGCGTCCCGCTCGCCCTTGTTCAGGTGGACCAGCCCCTGCACAATGTCATCCATCAGCTCCTTCTGCATCGGTTCGACAATCATATGAATTTTGTTCTTCTTATTTGGAGTCTCCGCGAAGCAGTTGAGAGCCGACGTCTCGATAACCGTCTCGTTAAATTGCACCACGGGGTCGGACACCTTAATTTCGAGGTCTCCATAAAGCTTCCTCAAGTCGTGTAAAATGCAATCCAAGTATAATTCCCCCGTCCCTAGGATGATGTGTTCACCGGATTCTTCCACTTTTGTGCAGGACAAAGGATAAGTCTTGTCGATTTTTCGGAGACCCTCCAACATTTTTGGAAGTTCTGATGGATTAATAGGTTCACAAGCGACTTTAAAAACGGAGTTGGCACAATTTATATACTTAAATTTCCTATGTAAGGGGTAGAATATCTCCGTTTCTGCCTCTTCTTCGTCGAGAAGGAGGGTCCGCTCTTCCCTCTTCAAACCGTTTCGAGATCCCGAAGTGGATAACATTCCCGTTAGTTTCGTTCCGCTCAGGTGATCCTTCTGTGAGCCTTTCCCTTGCGCATTTCTCCTCTTCTTCACATTCGTTATGGTGCACGTTTTGTTGATGCAGATGTCTACCCCGCCAATGAGAACGAAATTTCCCGCGGGGACCTCATCGACCTCGACTCGGTATCTTCCCTCGTAAATCCACAAATGGGTAACCACTCGAGTTATCATATCTTCGTCGTCACTAGGGCTGTAACCCTCTCCCAGGATTCGCACCGTTTGTCCCTTCCTGATGGTGCCACACATGACCCTACCGAAGAGGTCCAAAATGATGCACTCCGGTCGGTGGTAATTTTTAACTATGTACACCATCAGATTGTCCGTTTGATCCCCTTTAAGGCATCTCATCATGTCGTAGCACAACTTGGTTTTTAGCGAACCTGAGTAAATCTGCCTCGTCTTCTGTTTAGCATTCTCCACTGGGGAGGGACAATTGTCCAGGATGACATCAACAAACGCAGTCGTATCTTCAAATATCATACCGTTGATTTTCTTAAGAAGATATTTATTGTTAAAAAGGTAGTCATTCTTTTTCAAGGTAATGTTAAAATTTTTTAAAAAAGGAATGAGGAACTCTTTTTCTTCTGAGCAGACATAACCGAACACTTTGTAAATTGGATTTAAGATAAACTCAACAAAGGACCTCCTCTGATTTGAATACAGTGGAGATGAAACGAAGGAGAAATCCTTCTCGTTAAAGTAAATGTCTCCCCAGAGGTGCTGCGCGAATTCGTCAATATCGATATTGTATGCGCTGTACAAGTTACAATAAATTTTACTAAACGATTTGAGGGTAAAAAAAACTCCATAGATGCTTGAAGAGAAGAGTACGTTATTCTTCAGAGGAGACAAGAGAAACTTCTTCTTCTCCTTTACACTCTTGTTTAACAAATCGCAGAAGGATTCAATTTTCTTGTTAATCTCCTCAATGGTGTAGTTAATTTTGTGATACGCATCATTCGGGGGCAGACGCAAGTCCATTATTAGCTTATCTATGCAGTTAATAATTAGAATCATTTTAACATTTTCGTAGATGCACGTTTTTATAACATTCTCAGTGACGTACATGCAGCCATCTGTGACGTCGACAACCAGACAGCAGCATTCACAGATATTCAATGCACAGAGGAACTCATCGAAGAAGTTCACATGCCCTGGAGTATCCATGATATTAAAAAGGTAGGATTTATATTTCAAATTATTCTTCTTCTTATTCAGTAAAATATTACTAGGAATATTTTCATACATCCTATTCTGAAGAATCAGTGATATAGGAATTGCCTTGATGGATAATCCTCTTGCTTGTTCATCGAGCCTTGTATCTGTGTAATTTATTAAGTGGTCAATCTTTTTCGAATTAAATGGAGTCACCATGGATGTATTATTTTTTCCAAGGTTGTCTCTTTTTATTACTACTGCCTCCATTTCGGTGTTCACGTCAAAGAAGCTTACTGTGCCGCTGTTGGGGTTCCCTCCACCGCTTCTTGTGCCACTGCTATAAGTCCACTTCGTTTTTCTGTCCTTTTTCTCCCGAGTAAATTCGATTATCCTATCTATGAGGGTCGTCTTCCCGTGATGGAAATGCCCCGCTATGCAGATATTTTTTATAAATTGCGTCTGGCCCATCAACTGGGACATGTATTTAAAACTGAACGTGTTGTTCGGGATACTCGTTTCTATCAAGTCGAAGTTCTTCCTGTTCGCCTCCACGTCCAGCTTCTTAATGAAGCTGATTCGCTCTACGTTCGTGTTTATCTTATTGATCGTTGCTTCTTCTATGTCTTGTGTATCTTCCTGCTCCACGAAGACTTCTACCCCTTCGTACGCTCTCTGCAGTTCGTCCATGTTGTCCACAAGCCTCTTTTCTCCGCCCCCGTCGCTTTCCTCCTCACTGTCGGCATGGCCCCCCCCGGTACCGTCGCTACCATCGCTAGCAGCTTCGTGTTTCCCCCTTTTTTTCTTTCTTTTTCTTCTCCCCTTTGCCTTCCCCCGCCCAGCATCGCTATCCTCATCGCTACCTTCGTCACTATCCGCATCGTCATTTGCATCGCTATCTCCATCCGAATCTGAAGCCGAATCCGCTTGCTGGTCACTCACGTCGTCCTCTTGATCCCCATCCGAGTAGTCATCATCGCTGTCGAGGTCTTCCCCTATGTAATTTCCGAACTCGTCGTATAGGTTGTTCTTCGACTCCATCGCTGCCCACCATACACAGATGGCTCTGGCTCCAAATGTTTTTTCCTACTCACCACGGGTTTTTAGTGGATACGCTCCGCGCAGGGTAAATGATTCCCCTGGGAGGCACGTCCAACGTTGCCCGGATGCCGCCGGAACTTTCTTGAGGAAGGGACACTTTTTCGCGCCTTCACCTCACTGGCCCGCTACGCAGACTGCAGTGAGCGCCTTGATACGCATATGAAAGGAGAGCAGCGTCTCCCTGCAACTTTGACGCGATTTCGTTCGTTCCTCTTTGCAATCGAGTGGGTCGTAAAAACGCGCTATTCGATTATTCTGTTTTTTGTTTATCTGTTTATTTGTTTGTTTGTTTATTTTTTTGTTTTTTTTCCCCTTCTCCGAATTTGAGTTTCTTCCACTCCCGTTGAACAACTGGGTTCGTTTTGCTACAATCCCCCGTTGGGTTGCGGCTGCTCTCTGCCTGGAACGGATTTGTATCACCTTTGGCTGGCTTCTACCCTAACAGATAGTTGGTTTTTCTCCCGCGGGGTAAAGCAGCTTGCCCGCCTTGAAAAGTGGCAATTCGTGGAGTCCAATGCTTCTTGCCTTCGTCATCGCTTTTCCCTTTTTTTTTTTTTTTTTTGCGTGTCACACGTTGGTTGGCATTTTGGCACTACATATTTCTATGCCACCTTCCTGTTTTGTTATTATTTTCTTTTTTTATTTTTTTTTTCCTTTTCCTCCAGCGCTACATGGTCAGCATGCTGGTGTATGAGTCGATACAGTAAAACTCTTCTTTCGCTCCTCGTTCACATGATTCATGTGATTCACCTGTCCTCATTTCCTTTCTCATCCCATCCCCAATCATACATAATAACAGCCACCTGCGCAGGGAAGACGAGGCGAACGCCCCATACGATGTCACGCGGGGAAACGGCTATCCAACCCGGGAAATTAAAAAAGTACCATCCATTTCGATGTTGCCAGATGTAGCCACGGGAATTTTACTAAATTAAAGGCTCCTCCTCTTTTTAACCAGGCCCACAGGGAAATGACAATAAAAGGGGTCATTACTCCTTAAGAGTAGAAAAGTTTAATCCTTGTGGTGACCTTATGAAAGGAAATATGCATTGATTTCCCCTCCTCTAACTGCATGCATATGGAAGTACATCCCTGGAGGTACCTGCTCATATAACCCTCTTGGAACATCCTTTCTTCTTGCTTCCCGATTTGATTACCCTACGGCGAACCCTCAAAAGGGGGGGCATATTATATACCCCCCTTTCAGTTACCCATGTGTGTCACGGTGGCTGGTCTTATTTTTCTTTTTGCACGAATGGACAGTAAGGAAATTTTTAATCATCACTCTGTGGGCACCTCTGTACCCGTTGGCACACGTGTGTAGCGCAGCATGCGCTCCTCCACTCATTCGTGATGCGCGAGTTAAGCCTGCATGGGGGTAAACTAACGGGGAGGTATACTGTCCTAAGTGGATGTCCTAGCGGGGACCTCCCCCCCATCGGATAGAAGTTCCATCTCCAACATGACTAATAAAAGGTGAATCATTAACTGGCATGTGCACGGACATCCTCCCACATAAGCATATATCCCCCCCATGCGCACTAACCTGTATGAGATTTTTCGCATCGTCAAAGGTTCTATTCCGAAAGGGTTGATCCACGAAGGGGGTGTATTAAAAAAGTGCAAAAGGGATCGCCGCAGAGAAGAGGGCTTCCATGTTCTGGTCTCTCCCACCTGCTTTTCCACTTCTTGTACGTTACTTCCGATTCTGCTGCTAGTTTCTTTTTTTTTTTTTTCCCACGCTAAGTAGCCTCAAAGTGGATAGGTACCCACATAAGGCGTAAAAAAATGTGTTAACCAATAGGACAGCGAAAAAAAAGAAGAAAAAAAAAAAACAATCATAATAGGAGCAGTCGTGGTGGAGGTAACCGGACACAGAGGCTCTATCGGTTAAATTGGAAGCAAACTGGAGAGATAGACAGCGGAAAGGCGAGAAACCGTGTTATTACTTAACTGCAGATCCGCGCAACCGTGTTAATGCTTAACTGCAAATCCGCGCGACCGTGTTACTGCTTAACTGCAAAGGCGATCTGCCACACCCCAAACCACATTTCTCCAAATCGGAAAAGAAACGTGTGTACTTGGCTGAACATATATTTAAGCACACGACATCACAGTAAATATACGTCTGAATACACCCTGTGAATCCGGCAAGCCCCCCAAGATGAACCCCGGCGACGGAATCGCACCCATCGAAATTGGGAAGATGCGAGACGACTTCGTCAGATGCATCATGAAAGATGAGGAGTACAAAAAAAAAGACGAGAAAAAAAAAGAAATCGTTAAATATTGCAAGAGCTACAAAGATTTCTGCAACATCGTAAGTTCAGTAAATATGAAACCAGTTAGGACATACGAGGCGAAGGTCTCCTATGAGGAATATGTCCATTTGAATGTTTCCTCCTCACAGTCTCGAATCGAAGCTATTAAAAGGAGAAACAGACGGAGCCAAAATTTTCAGCTCACCAATTTGTTTCAGATTAATAGCCCCGTGGAACTACCCTCTCGTCAGGAAGTCGAAGAGAGGAAATCTGGACGGGAGATCCAGCAATTTTTGTAAGCCCCTAAACAGATGTCGCGAGTGGAGAAGTTGTCGTACCCAATGTCTGCACTTCTTCCATCATCGACGCGGCTACCATCCCATTTGCTTATACAGCTACTACTACTGCTACTACTACTACCACCACCATGACCCCCCCTTGTTACCTCAGAAACATGCTGTGGGACAACCAAGAGGATTACGCCAATTTTATAAAACGCAACTACACCTCCGATGAACTGACCGATCTGCTTAGCTTTATAAGAAGAAAATGGGACGTCCTATTTGAGCCCACTCCTGCGGAACACCCCGTGATGGAAAAGGCCAAGAAGACATTTTTCAACTTGGCCAACTTCCTGATTCAGGTGGCGAACCACTGGGAGAACCAGAACCTCTCCGCTTACTTCACGCAGGACGAGCTTAACGATATCAATTTAAACCTCCAAGATGTGATTGGCAAGATGGAAAAAACAGCTTCTACGTATGATGACGAAGCCAAATGCGAAGCAGGCATAATGATAAATCAACTTAAGGTGATTCACCTTTAGCGGAACATTTGAGGGGTGAGGTATGCGCACCTGCTACTCTGTGCATCTGCCATTCTTTGCCGTGCTAACTTACCTCACACAGTGGGAGTTTCCCCCCCCCCCCCTTCCCTAAACGTAACATCCTCACCTAACACATTTGCATGCCAGAGGATTCGTCAAACGAAGGGGACCCTCTCCTCTGCCAACTCCTTATCGCCACACCTTCTGTTGCTTAATTATTTTAAAAAACAGCTTAAAAGGTATTGTGCACTGGCATATGAGGTGGGTCAGTCGTGTTGCTCAAGTTCCGGGATGCACACAAATAAATAGATACACATAAATATATACACATATGTAGACACTATACACACCTGCTTTGGTACACATTTCTGTCCTGTCAGCCGAAATGTTCCTTTCCCTTCTTTATCTCTCTCGATGATAAGTGGCATGCAAAAAGGAAAAAAAAAAAAAACTACACACACACATACATCATACGTGGTGGGCACGCAGATGGCGTCCCTGTACACACGGTGCACACTCGCATGTGGCTCCCTACGCGTAACCAAAATTCTCCAACACCTTGCGCTCCTCAGGGTTTATCATATTCAGCGCCTCCGCCTTTAAGCTCTTCTTCTCATTCAGGACCGTCACCTTCTTTTTGTAATATAACTTACTCAGCTTTTTTCTTGATATTTCATTTTTCTTCACTAACTCATCATAGTTCCAACCCACTCGGGAACTTAACGTTCCGAGTCGACAATATCTTCTATGCTTCTTCAATCTGAATGCTCTCAAAGCACTAGGTAAGACGTACTTCTTCTTTTTATCATATGGGTATGGCATTCCTACGAATACCTTCAGTTTTTTAAGGGCAATTTTTCCCTTGTACGTTTTGTGTGGTAACATTCCCCTGACGCATCTCCACAGAATCTTGGACGGCTCTCTCAAATGTAGAGGTCCCTTCTTAGGGTTCGTGTTCGTTCGGAGTCTCAGAAACTCCTGGTACTTTAGTCTGTTTCTGTACAAGCTGCCTGATATGTTGATATCTTCGCACCTCACGGCGACTACTCTCTGGCCGTTTAGAAGCTCCTTGGCGATTATCGAGGCCAATCTTCCCAGTAGGTGTCCCTTGCAGTCGATTACGTATACCTGCGGTGGGGAAGCAACGTTGAGAAGTGATGTGGGGAAGCGATGTGGGGAAGCGATGTGGGGAAGCGATAGCGGAGACGTGGTAAGACGACGCTGTAGGGCGAAGCAGAGTACTCGCGCGGGATGCTCATTCACAACTTCGCTACACTGGGACCTTTGGCGCCTTTCAACATGCCAACGTGTGCGCTAAGTGCATCCTCCATGTCGCTCTCTTCGTCGCAACATGTTGGGCAGAAGTACGCTCATACAACGATGAGCTCTCACAGTTACACGATGCCGACACACACGCGGTTCTGTGCCCCGACCGATGCGCCCCTACAAACTGGCGCGACGGCCTCCCCGCGAAGTTCTACACCCCCTTTCACCATCAAACGACGCGCCATACAAATCGCGTCATCCACATCGCCCATAAGCATACGCTCCTCTCATCGCACGTGGCACTTTTTTAATTTTTTTTTTTCTTTCTTATACCACTCGGGTTAACATTCACGTTAGCATTCACGTTAACGTTGTCATGGGCTTACCTTTTTATACATGGTTTTCCACAGGGGGCTGAAGATGAGAAAAGTAATCTCTGTTGAGTTATACAGTTAAAAAAAAACAAACTTTTGCAAAAGAAAAAAAAAGCCGATTTCGAATTCGTGACGGATGTTTAATTATATCATGGCATAAGGAAGAAGATGCTATTTTGTATTAACATAGCTAAGCGAGAGGAGAAGAAAAGGCAAAAAAAAAAAAAAAAAATTATATATACTGATGTATCACCTCAACGCGGTGTTGGAATAGCTTAAGTGTTATGTTAAACACGTCGCAAAAGAAAAAAAAGAAAAAAAATAATAAAATAAAATGAGGTATAAATCAGTGTTGCTGTGAATATATTGGCTTAGTATGAAAAAACCGTTACGAGCTGTTCGCAAACGAATCAAGTTTATTAGAAAATTGTTCTCTTTTTTTTTCACGTCACGCGTGTGGTATTATATGTTGTATGCGCATGAAGGAAGCTTCCTCTGCCTCTTCGCGCTTTGTGCATCTATATGTAATTATGTACGTACTTACGTATGTTATGTACGTACTATGTATATGTATGCCCTTCCTTCGAGTGACCCGCAAAGCACTCGACGGCCTATCTTTTTTTTTTCTTTTGTCACAGTGCGGAATAACCGCCAAAGGAAACAAAATCTCCTAACATAGCCTTTCTGCCCCATAAAAAAATCATGTGCAACGCGGGTATTTACGTACCCACACGGATAGGGTATTTTATTTACATTTACGTTGCCTATGAGCGCTTGTCCTATAACCCACTGTACACTAATCTCATAAGAATTAAGCACACGGTGCCACCCACCTCGCGGAGCAACTTTCCTAACTTGCCATTTCCACGAAAAAGGGAAAAAAAAATACGTCGTAATTTTGTAATTATTAGCAAAGTGGAGGGGGGTATATTTTATTCCTTCCAAAATGACTCCTCCACAATTTCATCATCATCAGGGGAAATTAGCTGATCAAAATAAATTCCAACGTATTTTATTATCACTACAAATGGGCAAATTTTCTTGGCATTCTGCCAGCTATATTTTTCTTCTTATTGGTATGTTCATTTTAAATAAATCGTTTTTCTTTTTCCGCATGCCTTTTCGCCGTCGTCAACCAAAATGGATATTTTCCCCAAAATTTAGGGGAACAAAAAAAAAGGTGCGGATAACGCTCATTCGACAGACTTCCCCATTTGCCTCTCCCTTCACATCATTGACACTGCACAAATCTTATGGCAACAGGAACAAAGAAGGAACACACAACAACGTAAAAAAAAAAAGTATCACCTATTTGCCCGAAACTGTTTTCCTTCTTTTTTTGTGCACCACGCCCAAGCTCGGGGAAAGGAAACAACCTCCATCGATCACCACCTAACTCGCTTAATTCTTTCTTTTCTTCCATTTGCAGAAAGGAAAAAGGAAATAAAAGATAAAAAAAAAAGATTACCACTTAGGGAAAAGAAAAATAAATGTAGATTTGTACATATTTCGAGATCATCCCCGTTTTAACATTCCTTGAACAATTTTCACGTTTCTGATGCTTTTTGGCAAATAAATCATTTTGCCAATTTCACGACTATTCAGCATTTTTTATTTTTTCGCACCCGAATAGGGACCCGTTCCCATTGTGTGGTGATTCCCCCAAAGGCCCAAACGCAGACGTGAAAGAGACCATCGCGTCATGCAGCTGTAGAAACTTCTCCCCTTCCCCCAATCTTTATTTTTGTGAAGGCAACGAAAATTAAGCTTTGCATATTTCTCACCCCTTTCATGCTGTCCACCCCTCACACCAGTCGAACGATGCTGCTACTACTGCGCAATTTGCCCCTCGGGACTCCTATTTTTTCATGAGAAATGTTCTGTTTGGGTTATGACTCCCAGCTCCTAGCATAT